TCGAGACTAAAACTAGATTTGATGTTGAATTGATAAGATTCCCGACGATAGAGTCCGACAATTGATTCAATGTGATGCCATAAACAAAAATAATAAAATTAATTAATTTTAGTTAGCTATTAAACTTGAAATTTTAACTTGAGAATTAACTTGGCAAAAATTAAAATTTTTTGGAGATAAACTTCTAGAATTAGACCATACATGATACCTTTCCTCAAAAAGGGTGACTTTGGACGATTTTTATATTTCTAAATACATAACCAATTCCTTATCTTAGAATTTGTAAACCGAGTATCATTTCTAGGTTTTCAAGTTCTTTTAAGACTAGACTACAATTAAAAAAATCAATAATAACTCTCATCTCTAGTAAACAATTAAAAAATAATAAAATAATTTTTAATGGAATTTTTGAAAGTTTTCTAAATGTCCGATAGCGACAATTGAAATAAAAGTTGTTGAAAAAACGAGAGATGAAAGAACATGAGCAAAATTTGCATATAAAATGCCTAAAAAAACCTTAAATTTACAAAAATACTACTCAATGCACAATAACAATGGGGTGAACAGTATTGTGGACATATTAAATGTCTGAAAAATACTTGAAATAATGAAAATGCCACTTATTTGAATAACAAAAATGCCATTCAATGGACTGTATTTTGTGAGTGTTTGAATAGTGTGAAAATAGTTCAAAAACCCATCTATTCCAAGGTCCTTTGTAATTGGTTTACAGATTGGATGAAATTGTATTTGTGGAAAGAAAAAAAATGCTTGATTGTCATATGTGATTGAAAGTGAATTTATATCGAAATTAATTATAAAAAAAATAAAATATTAGATATTATATGTATATGCATTTGATATAATAAAAAATTAATCTAGATTTGGTAATTTTTATGTGGGGCTTAAGTATGCACGGTTGAATATTGTAGGTCTATTGATTTAATGGTTTTGATGTGCAATTTTTTCAGTGTTTTTTTTTTTTTTTTTCATATTATCTCAATGTTTGGCATTGTTCTATTGATTAAAAATATAAATATTAGATATTCATAGTTATATATATTTGAAATACTAAAAAAAATTACTTCAGATTTGGTAAATTATGTGTGTGGCTTAAGTAGATCCTATGTTGAATATGGCAGCATGGTTTTGAGCCCGTAAACTTAAATTATTAAACTTTAAATCAACAAAATCAATTACAAAATAAAGTACGTCAAAGTTAAAAACTGCAAATCTTTTGGAATTAATAGGGAAAATTATTATTCTACCAAAGGATTATATACAAAAAGACCTTATATAGTTCATTAATTTATCATTAATTGATGGATAAGATATGATTCATTAGCATGGTATGCAAGCATTCTATTTAATTTTTTTTTTTTTTAAGAAATACTATATGCATTCTATTTGAAACTTCAATACTTATATTAATTTAAAAAAAAATCATAGCTTCAATATATATATATATATATATATATATATATATATATTAAAATGATTCAAGGAATTGTTTCATCAATCAACTAAAAAATAAGTTATTATTTTCCCTCTTTTTTCACAAAGAGAACGCTTTTTAAAAAGGAATTAACATTATGCTAATTTATTTTTATATAAAAAAGCCAGAAAACTTTTTCCAGTTTACTTTATATATATATATATATAGTACAACTAAGTACGAAAAAAACAATTTATTTTCTCAAAAAAAATATCATGAATTTTTTCTGAGGCAAAAAGAATGAGCCACTAAAAAAACACATTTATAGTGGGCTCAAACCCAAACCGAAAAAAAAAAAAACATGATGGAGAAAGCAAAAAAAAAGACCGTAAAAGTGATAACCACCAATATGATATTTATCAAAAATGAATCACAGGTAGACAATGACGAGGAGACCCTTGAATTGGAAGCAGCTCCTCAGAATCGAGAAAAAGGAAAAAGCAATGAATGACATGAAATGACGGAAAAGGGACAAAGAAGCAAATTAAAAGCAAAATCAATCAAGGGCAAATATCGAAGTTACACAAATCCATCAAGTGAGCAAAATAAAAGGACAAATTATATGCAAAGCAACAAAAAGAAAAAAAAAAAAGAAAAAAGGCATAACCCATAGACCGGTTCGATGAAAAGAAACAAAAAAAAAACATGTGTTTTAATTTCTTTTGTAATCATTGATGTTACTGTATCAGTCTGTTTCGTAAGACTATCATCTTAGATAAAGCTAGCTATGTCTCTTTCTGATGTCCGGCTTATAGTTTCAGGAAAGGTAAGAGATGACTGAAAGAGGTGGTGGATCGATCCACATGTCTTCTAACATCTGAACCGACAGTGAAGAATGACACTTCCAATGTGTGGCACAAAATTTTGGCCTCCACCGTGCCGACCCACCTGTTGATTGGCGGGGCTGCCGTACGACCGTGACAATGGTGGAGTTTCCACCTTTCCCCCTAGAATTGCTATGCATTACCAACAGTGGTTTTTTTTTTTTTTTTGTTAATATATTTGTTACCATGAAAAGGACAGCTTAATCGTGTATTTCCTACTTGCTTGTCAAGTCTCTCCGATTTTTCAGAAAATGTCTCTGTTTTTTTTTTTGAGGAAAATTGTTAATGATTGCACAGATCTTTTAATTCTTTCTTTCGTTTTAACGGTGTCTTTTTATTACTTTTTTATTTTAAATTTATCTTTCTACTTTCAATTTATATTTCAAAATTTCTCACTCAATTAATTTTTCAGACTAACGGTGTTATATCACACCATTAGCCTCACAGAATTACAATATATGTTTTTTTTTTCTTAATCTCATTCCTTTATTATTTTATTAGTAATTTTTTTTATAAAAATTGAAGATAAAAACTTTTTTTATCTAAAATATCTTTTATGGATTTAAATTTATCTATATGATATTAAACTATTTTTTAGTATAAAATAAAAAAAATATATTTTTTTTTAATATCAAGAGAGCTTTAGTTAAATTTTTAAACTTTTAGATGATATTTTTAAATTTTAAAATTTAACCACTTTTGAGTGATTATTTTCAAAAAGAATTTAACAAAATTTAAATTATCATGACTTTTGGGTCAAATTAAGAAATTTATAAAATAAAAATAATAAATAATAATAGAATCTTTTGAGAAATTATAAATATTATTCAAAAATTTAAAAATTTAACTAAAACTCTCTTGTCTTTTAGAAAAAAAAATACTATAAATATTTTATGCTTTTAACCAAAGAATTTGTAATCTAGTTGTAGTGGTCTCTTGTAACAAGAGGTCACGGGTTCAAATCTTAACAGATTAATTCTACTATAAGCTTTGGGTTTGTACGTTAAAAATAAATAAATATTTTATTTTATGTTTAAAATTTGCTTCCTGTTAACCATATTTTGGACAAAAAATATTTTTATCTTTACTTTTTTTTTTCAATTTTTTTAACTAAAAAAAGAATAGGAGAACGAGATTAAGATAAAATATATATATATATATATATATATAACACGTGCAATAATTTTACAAAACTAATAGTTCGATTTAACACTATTAGCTCAAAAATTTATCAGAACGAAAAAGTTTTTTTTTTTTAAAAAAAAGAAGATAAGATGACAAGTCAAGACGAAAAAAAGAATGGATGAACTCCAATGTCCATTAACCCTTGGAAAAAAAATATTAGGTGAGTACGGTTTATCAAGAACTACGATCATAAGGGTTCATTGTGTGCTGAACGCATGCCATCATTGATTTATCTGTGTTCAAGTTATTGATTGCATGTCCAGGACATTGTAGTCTGTGATGCCATGCCATGCGACTGATCGAACAAATTCAAGTCGTCCTACTAGAAATAGCAGCCCTCTGAATGCAAGCAAGAAGTGCTTTTTGATTTCTTAAATTCCTAGGTTTTAATTTGCAATCATGTGATCTGGCGGCAGCTAATCACCCACTGATCATCACCAGCAGTTTCAGCACTCTAAACACACGTTATATAATAATAATAATAAAAGATTTGACATGAGTTATTATTCACGGAGCTATTCACGTAAACTCATATACATTACCCATTATTATCACTAAAGTTTCAACACTCTAAACATATGCTATATTATAAAATAATAATAATAAAAGATTTGAGAGAGTTATCATTCATAGCACTATTCACATAAATTCATGTGTATTATTTATTTCGTTATGAAATGATATTTTCGTAATTTTTTAGTTTTTTTTTTTGAAAATTTATATACGAATTTGATAGTGTTTCATTTTGATCTTTAATATTTTCAAAAGATTTTATTTTATTTTATTTTTTTGTCCTTAGATAGATCAATCACACATGCTTGCCCTTTTCTTTTCTTTTTTTTAGCTTTAGTTTTTTTTTCTAGGAATTTATTCTAATTTGTTTATTATTGAATTGAGATAAAAAAAATATAAAAAACCAATTGTTATTTTTTTTAATTTTCCATGTAAACTGGTAATTATGAAATATATGAGATGTATTTTAAAATTTTAAAATGAACACACACACACACACACTATGTGTGTGTGTATCACTCTTATTATTTAAAATTGATTTTTTTCAATTTGTTATTTCTCATGAAAATCATTATCAAATTAATTTTGTTATATTTCTTATGTAATTTTATTTGTTAATAAATATAATTTATTTTTCTCTATGTGTTGATTTTTTAATAAGTTTTTTTTTTAAAATAAATGATCAGTTGAAAAATAAAATTCACGTGTTTTTTTTAATATAATATAATCAAAATTTATCGCCACTGAGATAAATATATTTTATTTAGCCTGCAAGGTTGCACAAAAAACTGACTAATTATATCCATATAATCACCCAAACCATAAAGAAAACTTAAATGCTTAGATTTGGTGGCAGAGACACTCAATAATTGTTGCAGTCAACTTGCAAAATCACAACCAGGTACATTATAGGAGAAGGATCCAAACCAATGAATTGAATGGAAATGGAAACGCCAAAAAAAAAAAAAAAAAACTAACTCGGCTCATATTATGCGAGCACAGTCGCCTGCTTCGCATATCAATGCAGCCTTCTCTGAGTAGATTTGACTAGCCAGTTTAGGTTGGGCCTTGCGATATTCTTCTGTAACAAAAGTAACAGCTTCTTCTGCCAGATTAGCATCAACAAATGCAAGACAACAACCTCTAAATCCAGCACCACTGAAACGTGCTCCAAATACACCAGGTGCCTTCAGAAGAATCTCATACAGTTGTATCAATGGCTCGCACCCTAAACAAAGTATGAACTGTCATTCATCAATAAGATACTCTGGCAATATATATGGAGTTATGATACCTAGTAATCGCGTTGCCAAGCTCTACTTCTAAGAAGAATTCTGTTTTTAGTAGATATTGGAATGAGATCCCATCAATAAAACTTGTTTGCTTTGTCCATATATTGAGATCCTATGGTAAACACTGAGATGGGATGTAATTCCATGGTGGACTCAGCTCTAACATAATTCAAGATGGCAAAAGAACGTAGTACGAAACTAGAATCATCAGTACATCAAAACGAAAGGAAACCTTTATGACTTGTCTAATGAGTGGAATTCAATTTGTTAAAAGTTTTATACCACTTAAAACATATTAAAACTTCAGCTTATTAACTGGGCAAGAATATTTTCATTTCCTTTGACCAATCTAGTTTAGAGAATCAAGGTACCCTCAAAGGTCAAGGAAACCCTTTTTTCATAAAACCAACACTAATGATTTGTGACTTTCTATCTGTATCAGAATCCAGCCTTAACCCTTCAAGATAGAAACTAGTTGTGACATTTGTTTCTGCTTTCTGAGACAATGCTAAAAGTTATTACAGCCTAAAATGCCAGTCCTGGCATCCTGCTCTCAATACTGCATCTAGGAAGCTAAATGCATGACTTGGATAATTTTAAAAAATTGATTCGGTTTGTTAATATTCTTATTACCAAAAAGTTCCTTCCCTTATTATTTTTGTTTTTTTCTCTGTTTTTGTTTAGGAAAAAAGGTGTGGGGTTTGGGGATGGAAGACAAGACAGCTAAAACCCAAAAATTAATCAGATCATACCGCATTCATAGTTCTGAATAGAACTTAAACCAGAGGCTGAGATGAGCTTTCCAAATTCTTCCAAGTTGCCAGAAGCCCAGGCTTCAAGACCTGAAGTATTTATTAGGTTAACTAGCTTTACTTGGTAAGCACAAAATTAAAAGGTGAAAACGAAAAAAGGAATATGTTTGCTATAGATTTATGAAAGCAAGTTAACGGAGTAATGCCTTGCATAACCCGCCTATTCTCTGAGAAATAATGTTCTGCCCTTTTAGCTAGATTGGGTTCTAGTAAGCCCTGCAGATATAGAGAAACACAGATCAGAAACAAATCTATCCACAAACTGTTAAATACTGGATTAATTTTTCAAGTTTATTTTAGTTTTTTCTTACATGGAAAAAAAAGGAAAAAAAACCCTTCATGTGCATGAAAAAATTATGATGAAATATGCAAACACGGAAGAAATCGCCAAAACAGCTAATGTAAAAGCCAGGCAGAAATCTGAATTTCAATCATCACATCTGAGCAAAATGTGCAGTGCATGTTTTATTCACAGTTAAACAATAAAATGGAAAGAGGTTATTTTTAACCTAAATGTTCGTTTCCTTCCAAAACTAAACAAAGCTCATCTGTAATGTGCAAGTGTGAAGGTATATTCAGCTTCATCCTTTCCTTTTCTCCTTCCCCCACCCATGCTGCCCGCCCCATCCCTCCCCCCCCCCCTCCCTCCTCTGGCACTTTTGCAAGGTCATTTTAACTCAGCTGTTTTAAATATGAACCAATCAAGTAAAATGATTGGCAGTCTGCATTCAGTTTCAAGTCATAATGAAAGATTCTAGAAAACATGGCAAAATTTGGAACGAGATGAATTGTTGCAACTGCACATGCACTTATGTGATAAAACATGCTTTAAAATCATTATCTTTAACAACTTAATGAATGGAAAAATTTCACGCACAAAAATAGTCAACTCTAATTCAATTACCATGTAAGTCTCATACGCCTCTGGATCAACTGTTTGAAAAAAGAAGTGGTATACAAAGTTATAATAATGCAAAAAAAATAATAATAATAAAGAAAAAAGCATTCAAAATGGATAAGAAACTAGAGTCAAGATACTGGCCATTGTGTAGGCGAGGCTCCAAATCGTCATTTCCAGAGGCACTGTGGATCAGATAACAATAACATAAAAACAATGAGCATGAAAGAATAGGACTTGCATGTTCTTAATATCTTGTTAAATCCGCATTTAATAGGGGAAAAAAATGTAAACTTTACAGAAAATTTGGAAGTCCTGTTTTATGAATCCAACATAACCTGGTGAACAAGAGACTGAACTTTTGGGGAAACATGACTAGTCAATCTATAAACATATGTTAGACAGAAAGAAAATTTATTTTGCTTGACAATGTTAAGGTACTCAAGAAGTGTCTGCAATAAAGGACAAAGAAAAGTGTACAACAATGATAATCAGTTAGGAGATACCATGTCAACTCGATTTGAAGAAGTCATGTCACGCTCATGCATTCTTACTAGATCTCATTTGCAGGTAAAGTTATGTCATAACAACTTTAATCAAAGAATCACCCCAAAACATATGGTAGGTGCTCTCATATAGGCACCGCCGCACCAGAACACTAAAAACAATAGGAATTACTGAAATATTTAATAAAATAAGTCCTAAACAAAACTACTTATAGGAAATCAAACTAAAAAATCCCTAAATAATCGAATACTTAAAAACTAAAAACCTCAAGGTTTTATTCCTTAACAACAAATTGACTTGATACATAGAGATGGTCCTCCTACATAGGAACCAAACGCAACTACTAAATAGGAATAACACAATAAAATTAATTAACAAACTAATTTAACAACCACATAAGGACCAGTGTTGAATCCCCAAATGGGAGCTGTTTTAGCCACTAAAGGGGAAAAGAAAGGGAAAAAATCATACAGGGTAAAAAATTAAAAATCCCAAGAGGAAAAACTTAATTTGTATATTTGTCCTGAAACAAATTTTCCACGTATTGTGTTTACTAGTCCTCTATCATTCATTTTCTTCTTTTTCCCTTTTATTGTGTTTACTAGTCCTCCAGCATCATGGTTTTGGAAGGTTTGAAACAGGATATGCAATCAGTCTCAGTAGATACAATATTAAAAGAGCAAATAATCTCAGTAGTGAAAAGAATCGTACTTGAGAAGAATTCTAGCAGCCTCATGACACTCTACCACACGAAGATTATATCCAGGGCTGTTGGTCAAGGCATTCTTCAAGCCTGAGAATGCCAATAATATCTTGTAGGATTTCTGGAAGTCGCTTTGCTCGTTGCTCAACTTTGGTGAAGGAATAAGCCCATGTTCTTTAGTCTACCAATCAAACAAGACACATGCTACATCGTGTTGGTATCAAATAAAGAAAGACGGCAAAATGACATTTTTAACAAAGATAGTAGCTAGCTTATGCTTTTGCAAATTCAGCTAAATGGAGTAACGACATTAGTTAGATAAAATCTACAAAGATTAATTGTTGCAACAGAAGCAATATAATCAGTCAAGAAAAAAAGTCCATCGTCATAATGCAGAAAATAATATACCATTCAGTGACTATAGAGGTTCCCAAAACACCAAAATAAAATAGCAAGAAATACTGATGAAACCTTAAGGAGGAGGTTCGAGCTCTGGATCTATGATATGAATTGTTGTAGCATTCAGTTTAACCACGTACAAATGCAACACATGATCATTTATACAAGGCACTTGCTGTGGTAAATAAGACTTGGTTCAACTTACAACTTCCATTTACTAAACTATTGTGAAGGTAGTATGAATCCGTGAAATTAAATGATGTTCAACTTACAACAAGCCCATAAGATAAACTGGGAAAATATAGTCAACATCGCAGAAATAAAATCTCATTTGGCAATCTGAAATTTTGTGTTGGTTAAAAATATAGAATCAAGCCACATGGATCCAATCATTACCTTGCAGTTCATGTGTGTAAGGCAACCATGGCTTGAAAGCAATATGGCTGACTGATCCAATATGCCATTTCTCAGACCCAAATATTCATTTTCAATCAGCCTGCAAGAGCAGAATAATAAGATTGAGAGAGGCCAACTTCTTTGAAAGAACTAAGATAATCTGATAGCTCAGTGAATCTATTGTATCTGAATCAGAGCAGTTGAGCTAGTATGATAGTAGCAACAATCAGTGCTTGACAAACATTTGTTCATATCAAGAAGGAAAGGGATATTCCAACATTTAGGAGGTCTACACAAGGATATAGCAGCCAGAGGAGCGTGCACACCCATGGAATAGATGCTACTTTCAGGAAGTTAAAAGGTCCTGGTATAGAGCTGTTTGTGTAGAACGCAATATCAACTATCAAGCCCAAAATTCTTATAAGAAGCTACCTGGTATCTAGCGACAGTTGTTTATTTTTCACAATGCTATTTCTCAGAATATAGATATGGTTTCTTAAATTATATTCATCACTCTTTTGCCCCACTTATGATAATGAAAATACTTGGATACTATGACAAATGAAAGATAGAAACGATGGATCCACAAGAATTTTGAAAAAAAGTATGTATAAAGTTGAGGAATGTGCAAAGTTTTTCACTTACAGAAAGCATAGTAGTTTGCACACCAAATTCAAAGTGCATTAACGCAATGCTCCAGTCACCAATAAGACATGCAGGTAACAAATCAATAAAGCAGATCCGAGTATTGGAGAAACCTACCTATCATATTCAATATTTTCTGTAGGAGTCATAGTCAAGTTATTTGCAGTTTCAAAAGCCAGGAGGTATGCAACTCCAACCTGTCAAATATACCTATGCAAATATATCATGTGCAGAAACTGGGAAGTTCTTATTGATAGGGGAAAAAAGATAAAGCCTCAAAATGTTAGTGTTGGATAATATATAGCAGGAAGATGAAAGGAAAAACAAACAAGGGATGTTTATACAAGCAGCAGGCATTTATCCGTACCTCCCTTGCCCCCAAATCCCATTGGGGAGGAAGAAAGGGAAGAAAAACTGTTATGTGAGAATAAAGGCAAAGAATTAAAATCACACTTACAGCGGCAGAAGAGCTAAGGCCTGAACTGTCAAGACCTTCAGAACCACATATGTATCCTGTGATGCCCTGCAATGTTTCAGAAGTCATTCCGTGTTAATGAAATATACAGAATCTTACACCAGATAGAAACAGGCACATCTTCGTGCATTTTAGTCTGTACTAATGGCTAAGTCAGAATGCTCTATGAAAAACAAGAGTACTTTGTTAGGAACCAAAGGAGATAAATTACAAAATGAAGAATAAGACATCCCCAGAAAAGCATTAACGTAAAAGAGCTAGCTGATCCTGCTGAATGTTTGAGATTGTAACTCCTGTAGAAATACCGGAACAGAGCACCATAAGGAGGCCAACAAACCACTCTCTATCATTCTAAACAAATTTTCAATGAAAATTCCTGTCCATCCACATAGATCAAATCACACCTCAAGTACTGCACATCTTCAGAGAATATTGCAACTTCCAATTGATTAAAATTTAATTTTAAAAAACGTTTTCCCCAGAAATTAGTATGCTTCACAAAAGGAACTTTCTGATCTTTATATTATTCAACCATTTTCCTATCCCTTCATATTTCTTTTAATGAGTCTCCCGCCATTTCCCCTTCGATATTTGGTTTATCTATCCTCTTCTGGGTGGTTGGTTCCCTAAGGAGGCCTCGAAAGGTCTTCATTTTGTGAAAGCTCTTTGAGGAATTCTGGGCTTATTTGGAAGGAGTTAGAAAATTTACAGCATGGTGGTGAGAGAGGAGAAGTTAAACAGGATGATCAGCAATCAATAGTTCAAGCCTTCAAGGTCATTTCTTTAAGATTTTAATCTTTACTGTCTATCTCTCTCTCTCTATCTATATATATATATATATAAAACCTCTCCTCCATACTTTTACCACTACATTCATGAAAAGTTAAGAAAAAAAAGCAAGAAAGGAAATACAATGACATGCATTGCCTTGATCTTCTTTTTAACAATAAAATAAAAATAAAAAACAGGAGAGGGAGAGAGGGGCACAAAAAGAAGTCCTTGTATGAAATCATAAATCCATGTATGAGATGATTATCCATATTCTTGAGAGAAAAATGGCTATTGATTCAGCCCCATATCTCAAGAAGATGCCATGATTCTCTGCTAATCTATGTAAAACAAGAACCTACATAAGCAACCCAAAATGATTAGCTAGGACAATATTCAACACCCAAGCAACCTAATTTGGAATTTGGCAGGAGTTAATGGAGTATGAAAGCGAAATATCCTAACCTGAGTAAGAGAGATCCCCCTGCTCTGTAGTGCATATACAGCTCCTCTTGCAAAATTTCCCCAGTTACCTTCTTCCTGTAGTTTTGGGGAATCAGTGGCATGGGGCTCTCCTTTTTCCTAATGGGTCTGGGCTGCTGAACTTCATCAACCCTGTAAAACCCAAGGCATGATCCAAGATATAAATCATTCAGTGTAAGGCTACTATAAATTGCAACAAGATGTAAAATTCCACCTTGCCTTGCAATTGAAAATTTTCAAGTGCTTGGATGAACAACCCGGATCAGAATTGTCCATCATTCAGTGCAATGTTTTGCAGTAAGGTACAGTAACTAATCAAGTATATCCAGTGGATTTTACATAAAAGGAAAATATATATATATATATATGATACTCATAAAGATGCTGAATTGTCCGTCATATGTTTCAACAGTCAACACTGATTGGAATGTCACAGCCATCAGGGAGGAAGTTCTTTTTGAAGATATCATTGTAAGAGAGAACAAAAAGGAAACGATGATGTCTAATATCCAACATTTTATGCACAAATGCACATAAACCATAATTTCTAACCATAAAAGTTTTAACATTCAATTAAATTTGAATGGCAAAGGCAGTGTGCTATTAGGCAGCTTGCTCACTTCACTGTGTTAATCTGATAGACCTGCGAACACATTATGAATAATTTTTTCCATATTTCCCTTCTTAAATCAAGCAGCAATGACAGATTTGGAGGAAAGAAAGTAAAACTCACAAAAGATGTTCAGACAATAGCAGTATTGAGCGAAAGAACAAGTCAAATATAAGTTGTCACTGAATCACACAATGAACTAGGGAGAAACTCAGTCTGTTGCTTTTGGGCGTCCAGTAGTAGAGCAGGTTCCCTAGTTATACATAGACGGAAAGGCATTTTCTTCTTTTCAAGTAGAGGGATTATTCTTGTTTATGTTTATCAAGCAGTCCCTTATATTACACCATGCATATCACGTGCATTGAAGAACAATGATAGACATTTCAATATATCCATTAGAAACTGACATTATAGAGAAGCAAATCACACTGCCTAAACCAATTTCATTCTTGAACATGTACAATTTTTTTTTACTCTCGTCTAGCTTGGAAGTGTTTACTCTTTTCATAGGCATGCTATGTTTGACTCGAGGACATGTGACATGCGAAAGACAAAAATTTGATGTTAAAAAGTAAATTAACAAGATTGAACTATTGCAAGAGGCAATAGATGCATAGGAAAATGAAAAGGGAATTATAAGAATTATAACCACACCTGAACCTAACTTCTCCCCTGAACTGTCCTGAACGCAGTATAACCTACAAGTGTTGCAAGGACATTTAGAGAAAAATGACAATGAGAGCAGTTAAGCAAGATAAGTGTGATGATAATTGCACAGCCAAAGTATCAAATTAAATTTATAGTCAAATAGATAAAAAAAAATTGATACTGTCTAACAAAATATTTTTCCATGTACATGCATGCTTCCCAGCAAACAAGCACTAAGATATCTCCAAGTTATTCGTCAAAGGAAAAGGGAGACAACGTTCAGATATAGAAAGGGATTCACATGTGATCCTAGACATTCAAAGGTCAAAGATTCTGACTTTGATATATGCACAAAAGATCTCTCATCATACAACACAAAGGGATGAAGTGTCAGTTCAACTTTAGCTATTATCTGACATTTGCATACAGTGACATCCTGATGTGACGTGGAAGGATCTAATCTACTTGATTCTCTGCAAACCGTACCTCAAAGTGATGTAGGTTCTGTATGATTTTTAAAATACAGGTAAATTCACTCTTTGCATCAGCTGTACTGGCTAGTTTAGAGAAGCAAACTTTAGAAGCTTTCAGATGGAGAAATTGATACTGGTATCCCATCTGATTAGCTAGATAGAATCAATGTCAACAAACTTATGAAAGCAAAATACTGTGCATCATCCCACCTTAATCTAAACATTAACTAAGGAAAAATTCAAGTGACAGGCTCCCCCATTACCATCATATTAGGTCGACATCATATTTTGCCTTAAGTAACTCATCATCGATAGCCAAAAGCAATATTCGTTAGCAATTGAGGGAACAAAACTAAAATTTTCTACTCAGATCTCAAATATTGAGATTTTTTTATGTAAAGACTCAAATATTGCAAGAACCTCTGAACAAGGCACAGAATCTACAGCAGAACAGGTTAAAAAACACGGTCTGCTCTATCACTCCCAAAAACACTTGGTGGCTTGAACGCCCAACCACAACAAAAGCCCATTTGGAAACACACTTGCATCTTGGTCATATGACATGTGGTACAAAAACTATCATGTTGTCGAAGGATTTTAAACCTCTATCGCCAAATGCCAAAGCGATATTTGGCACTCTGAACCCCGTCTATTTACAAAATCATCACAGCAAATGTACATTGCAGTTCCTGTCTTTATGATCAACCGCAGTCCAAAATAAATGCCATAGAAAGATACAATTTACTGACTCAATCGCCAATCAACCCCTCACTAGTTCATAAAGTCATAAACTGAGAATGCCATTAGACCTGTTTACCTCAGTATCATCAGAAGGAATAAAGCCCAGAAGTATTCCTTTATTTATTGTCATAGCCGAAACAGTTCCACCCTGCATTGAATTGCAAAACAAACTTCAATCTTTTCCGGTATTGCTAAAACCTGCTGATATTGATTTTCAATGGCAACACCATGAAAATATTAAGAACAACAAATTAAACAGAACCTGATGATCAATGTGAGCACCAAGTGGACAAATCCGATAAGGAGAGACCACAATTCTCACTTCTTCAGGACCTCTCCCAGCCATTGCAGACACGATATCCTTTATTTCATTTAGCTGCAATACAAAAAAATCCAAATATATCGAAAAATACAATAAAAACCAAATGAAAGTTCATTGGAATGAGAGAAAAGCCAGCATCTTTCTGTCAAAAAATGCCACAGCATAGAAACCATTGTCTCAAATCAAGAATTCACTAACAAAATGTAAATCCCACAAAGACTTTCTATTGGATCAAGCTGAATTATCAATAAAAAACAGACTTTAGACAAATTTAAGAAACCCCATCAAGAAATAACACACTGTCACAAAAATGTATAAAGTCATGAATTTTACCTCATTTTCACCAGGCCAAGAAACCCCACTCATTGTTTTCGAATTTTTTCTGGTAATGATAATTGCCAATCAGAGGTTACCGGGTTTTGCTTCTGAGCCAGTGGCTGAGAGAGAATTTATTTTTGGTTGCCAATCTACATTACCTGACCACGTATGGACAAAATAACAACTTGCTGCTATTTAGTGACATACATGGACAAGGTTTATGACCTCTTTTTTCGAGGAACACTAGAGAAGTAAAATTCAAAGAAGAAAAATATAATCCAAATTGGTGCAAAAAGAGCTTTATTAATAGTAAATTTTTATTGTGAAAACAACACTTCAAGGATTAAAATATGTTTTCTTATGTTTGAATCATACAATTAGTTAGTGTTGAGTTGTAGTAATTTCTCCACAATCTTTTTAATCATAACTTGTATTTTTTATTAGATGAGAGAGGTAACTTTATTACAAACTTTTAGTACCAAAATTAAACTATCACCAAGCTTAGGTAAAATGGTACATCAAAAGGAGGTATTTTGAAGTGTCATTGACACCAAAACACATAATCATGAATGAGTATATCAAACAAAGCAAGATTGATAGGCAACAACATTTGACCATGTACCCTTTTTTTCTTTAACTTTGCATAGAAGTTAACAAGGACATTATGAGTTTGTTGCCCATTACATGACATCATAGAAAGGACATTACCAGATAAATCTCTCTTTGGTACCAAGAGAATCCACTCTTCAAACCCTAGAAAAGTTGGACAAGACAAGACATATCCCTATGTCCCAATTTGTTTATTTGGGCAAAAAAAAGTGTATCCAAACGTTGCAATATAGAAAAGTGAGTAGACATTTATCTAAAAGTGAGATTACAAAGCAAATATTTCTTTATTCAACTTTTATTTTTAAGACTTTTTAGATGATTGTATACAAATACAAGGACGAACGTGATTAAATTCAAGAGTACAAGGACTAAATTAAGTATTTGAATATTGCACAAAACCTCCAATCCCAACGGATTTAACCCAATTTCTTCCAATCTTGGGCGGGCTCCACTAACTAATGGGCCTTTCCTTGATCCATGGGCTTTTCATAATTATGTTTTTGAAATATAATTCAAATCTACCGATATTAATTTGTTTAAAATCAAACTCACTAAGTTACCAGTTACCACTTACCAAACAAAATAATAAATATTCCACTAAATACTAATAAATAAAACATAATTGACTAATCAAGCCCCGCAAAATTAAAAAACAGAAGTTACAAGTGAAATTTGTCAGGGAAAAAAAGATTATGAAGGGCAAATTAGTCATATAAAATAAAGCCAGATCCCCTTCAAATTCTACTAATTAGCATTTCATTCCAACTCTAGCTCACACTCTCTCCAACTCGAACACTAATTACTCTTTCTCTATAAGACCAACCCTCTCCCTCTTTGGCAAATCCAACGACAATGAAGGTAAACAAGATCTGTCAGATTGTGAGGTTCAAGCTATTCATGCACCGGTGGAAGCTAAGGAGTCTTGGAAACCAGAAAAGAAGCCATCATCAAGAATCAGGGTCATTAGCCAAGAAAACACCACCACCTGGGTATCTTGCAGTTTATGTTGGGATGCAAGAAAAGAGGTTTTTGATACCTACGAGGTTTTTAAACCTGCCAGTTTTTGTTGGGTTGTTAAAGAAAACAGAAGAGGAGTTTGGGTTTAAATGTAAGGGAGGACTTGTTTTGCTTTGCGAAGTTGAGTTTTTTGAGGAGGTTTTAAGGTTGTTAGAGAAAGATGAGAGTAGATTTGGGAGGTTTGGTTTGGAGGATTTTTTCAACATTGTTTCTTGTGAAGTGGGTTTTGATTCTTGCAAGGAGACAACATCAAGCACTACTAGTCATGTTTTTACTCCCTTGTTGGAGAAAGCTAGGGTTTGACGTTGTGATGGTCCTTTTTTTTTAGATTAGGATCTAATTTTTCTTTTCTTCTTGGGGTATTTGTATATTTTTCCTTTTTTCTAAAATTAGGGAGTTTTTTGGGCTCTAACCATCCTTGAGTCCATCTTTCAATAGTGTTTGATGGGTTTCAATGAGATGTTGTTGAAGCTTTTTCCTTCCTTCCTCATTAATGTCTGGGGCTTTTCTAGCTATTAGCATCAATGTGTTTTGATGATGCCAATGGTGATCTCTGAGGATTTTGGAGGCCATTAATTTGTCAAAAGTGGTGTCCTTGCTAATGATGATGATGAAATTTTAGATTAATAATTTTGATTAATTGTTCTTCTTTACAATTTTCCATTGCTGAATCCTCACTTTGTTTCATATCTAATATTTTTGAAGATAGAGCTTCCAAACTTGATTGCTTGCTCTGGCCTTGGTGACTTTTTATTCTTTTAATCAATTTTTTTCTTTTTTTTGGTAGAGAATCTTGTTCTCTCTCAGTCCCTCTTGTGATGCAATTAATTTTGAGAGATTTCTTGCTTTCTTTTGAGTAGGTGGTTGAAATTTTGTTCCTATGAGAAGAGACCAATTTGCAAAGATTTTTTTTTTTTCTTATTCAATTTCAAGCACAGTATCTTCTTCCATGTTAGCCACTCTCGAGGTTGGCTCTAGTTTTGGTTGCTAGCTATAAAAAATTGCTGATAAAGAAAACAGTCAGACTCACATGGCAGCATAGCTTCAAGAGACCCCAATCAGATTTGAGAATCTACTCCTAATTGCATCAGAAATCAACAATCCTTTGAAACTTACGATAATGGAAAACTCTTTTGGACCTTAGCCAAAAGCTCAGCTTTTGATTCTTCCATGACGATGATCAACCAGGTTGCCATTATTATTATTATTATTATTAATTTAGTTTAGTCTTGATTAACGTATAAGTTGGTTGTAGAATATCTTAATTTAGTGTTGAATTAAGCTACAATGCTAATGATGGTTTTCGCATACTAGGATTAAATATACCATCGATTGAGTGATCGATAAGTAATATTCTGATAGCACGTGAAACAAAACCATTTACTATATAAATATATTCAAAATATATTTAATAGTTTTCGCAAATACATTTTATAAAAGTGTATTCAGTGTGAAAAAAGACATTAAATTGATGTTTTACTATATATATATATCGTCACTTATCATATGAAACATACTTCGTTCTTATTTTGGTTGTATAATGCATTTGTTTGTATAAAAGTGTATTTAATATATAGAAAAAAATTAAATTGATATTTCGCTACATATATTATTTATTAATTTTTTAAAAACGATCTACATCTGAATCAATATTCGTATTTATAAAAAAAATTCCGCACATGGAACAAACTCATTTATTATATAAACATATTTAATGTGTATTTGATAATATAATACAAATGTTTCTAAAAAATGTATTTAATCCAAAATAATATAAAATCTCGTGTTTTTCTATAAAATTTATTTTAAAAACACTTTCAGAGGCATTTCGAAATGGAGTTTCAAAATAAATTAAAAAACAAAGACAAAAGTTTGATTTTAGTATTGTATAACATTGGGGAAGATGGTCGTGAGTCATGAGATTCCCACTGTTTTCGGTGGTGATGGCAAAGGAGAATCTTCTTTCAAGTGGGTGGTACAATTGTACAAACCTTACACTTGTCTGTACTTTCTTTCTTGTCATCTTTTCACTTGTTCTCTAATTACCCTATCCCCTTGTCCGAACTGAATAAATAATACATACATGTTGCCTTTTTATTTTCTTTTCTGTGTTGTTTGTTTCTGACGTTGGAATCTTTGTTTTATTTCGAATCGCATCTTTTTTTTAACAAATTCCTTACACATTGCATTCAAAGATGACAAAGGTATAGCATATTTTTCAGAGAAACTATTCGATATATCGAAAACTGTTCGTTTTGTTTTTATAAGAATATGAGATTCATAAATTATTTTTATTGGAAGTTCTATATTGTTGTGAAAAAACAAAATAGAGCTCTTACCCTATCTAATAATTTATCTTTTAAGGAGTTGACACAAATGATAAAATAATTTATTATTCATGTTTTTATTTAGGGTTTGAATTCCTAACTCGTAGTTACCGAAAACGAAGATCGGGTTAGAAGGAAAAGCTATTGACTTGGCTATAAAACTAGGCCTTAACGTGGTGCTAACTGGATTCTTGTCTTGATCGAAAAAGTATGAAATTCTTATGAAACAGACTTGCTATCAATGAGCTATTAAAATATCATCTCACCTAAAAACTTAAACCGATAGGTGAAGCCCAATAATATAATTTATATTAGTCTCTAACACACCCTCTCAAATGAAAGCTCAAACATTTGAGCTTGAAACTCGCACGGATCCACATTGCCTTGTGCTTAATACTTGAAAAACTAGGGATGGTGAGACTTGAACTCAAGACTTCTTGGTCAACCAAGCTCGATACTTTATTAAAAGACCATCCACCTAAAAGCTTAAGCTAATAGGTAAGACACCAAAATATAATTTATATTAATCTCTAACAAGAACATGGAATACGGGATAAAGAAAGGTCGAACTTGAATCGGACATGGAGCATCTACTCGGTCTTTTGCCCTAACAAAGGCAAAATAATGCATTTGGGAATAAGACGCTAGATTAGAACATGATGTAGAACAAGGATTCCCATAGAAAATGAGTTTCTCATGACTGTATTGATTTGGTTTTAAATAATTTATCTAAATTGGAAAGTGATATAATCTTTATACATTAAAGTTGTCCCCATAATGAATTTTAACTATCATTCATCTAAATAAAAAAGAAAATGACTTACAAAGAAATTTTCAATAATTAAAATTTAATACGGACCATGTATTAAATGATAGATAGTAAAGTTTGAGTTTCATAAATAGCAAATGATGGTACGAGTCAAAAATTAATATCATATGTATTTGTATGAAAATTTTGCACGAAAAAATTATTGGTTAAATATTATTCAAAATAACAACCAATGACTAAGGTGTTTGAAAAAAGCATTTAATGGGATCAAATTTGGTCATTTTTTGCTAAATTTATAGACATGTTCAACGTTGGCATAGCTCTAGAATAATGGTCATAATTTAATGAAATAAAATTAGTTACTTGGCCTGTAGCCAGTGTTTGGTAATGGTAACTAGAACAGAGACGTCAAGAGGAAGAATAAGGAAATGATGGTGTTGAACATTGTTTTCTGTTTGTTCTAACCAAGTAATTGACAAATAATTTAAGAAAATAATATGTATCAATCGCAAATTACATTAGAAAATTTCAACACTATCATACTTGGTCAAATTTTGATATAGAATCATACAAATTTTTATCTCATATTTCTTCTCGAAGAAAGTAAATTTAAAGAATGGATTGTATAATTTATGTCGATATGTTCGTAGGATTGACATAATCTAAATCTATCCGATACTCTTCAATTTTCAAATTTAACTCATATAATTCTATCAGGTATAATATTAAAATACTTCTGAATTGATCATCTTATCTCTTATGAATTTTAATTTTTCTTTGTTGAGTTATATTTTAATCTTTTAATAAAATATTGTTTCTATCCATAAATATGTCAACCTATCGTTTTCGATTAGAAAAAAGAATGCAAAATAGCATAAGTAAGTTGTTATGATTAGATGATTAATTTGGTTTATTAGGAATAATTTGACCTAGATTTGTTATCAAAGAAAATTTTGGTCACGTCGAATTAAACCAATCAATTTTTTATGTTTGGATTAAACTTAATTGAATTAAATTATCAAAAGAAAAGAAGAAAAAAAAAGGAAGAAATTTTGACTTAAATGTTTTCAAAGTTTGGCCAAACCTAGTTGAATCTGCTTTGAGTATGCAATGTAGGGGAAAGTAGGAGCAAGTCTTCAAGAGCACGTTTCTAGAAGACTCGGATTTTGCTGTCAATGATTTAAAGAAAAAAAGATTAAAAAGAATTCACATGAGAGAGTTTTTTTTGGTTAAACAAAACAGATTAGGTTTGATCAGAGTAAATTATAAATCAATATCTTTATTTTTGAAAAAATGAATTAAATAATCCTGTTTGTTTTAAAAACTAATTTTTAATTTTTCAATCAGTGTTAACCATGTTTAATTTAGTTTTATTTTATTTCATAAAATTTCATAATTTTTTATTGTTTTGTTTCTTAAAACAAAAAATCAAAATAAATTGGAAATAAGGAAAAAGGATCCCATTTAATTTAAAATATTACTTTATTTTAAGACATCCTTGGTCATCAATTCTTTCATATTTTTACTTATTTTTTATTTTAAAATAAAATATCAAAATAAATTAAAAATAAGTGAAAAGGATCACACTTAATTTAAAATATTACTTTATTTCATGTCATTTTTGTCATCAATCTTTTTTATATTTATACTAGTTTTTTATTTCTTAAAATAAAAAAATAAATTAAATTAAAAATAAGCAAAAAAAGATTAAGCTACAAGAAAATTTTAAAATATAGAAACTAAATAATTACTTTTTGAATCATTAAGTACTAATATGATGATTTTTTTTAAAAAAAAACTATAAGGACTAATTTTGATTGACCTGGCCCAGATTTAAATGTCGGCCCAAAAAAATGGCCCATAAGACTATAAGAATTAAATCCAGCCCATTTTCATCTATTCAACAGATTTATTCCAAGCATTTTGGTATCAACCAAAATGGAAAATTCTTACCCACTTTACAAAATTTGGATTGATCAAATCTTCGCACAAGCCTTCACGTGGTTATTTTGGAACTTGAGGAGTGGATTTATGAGTAAATTATAAATTAGTTCCTCTTTCTTACAGAAATAAAATAATTAGTGTCTCTGATTTTAAAAATTATTTATTTATTCTTTGTGTTATTTTTTAATTTAATTTATTTTTGAAAGAAAAAATAATAAAAGATAAGTAAAAATATGAAAAGATTATTGAAAAAATATTTTATAAAATATAAAATATAAAATTATTTGTGGTCAACACTAGTTTATAATTAGTTTTTAAAATAAAAATACTAATTAATTTGTTTCTCGAAACAAGATGGGCTAATTTATAATTTACTTGAAGATTTATTCAGTCTAAATTCTTAGCTTTTTAGGTTATAGTCAACATATTTAAATAAGATTAATCAGAATTATTCAAGAATGTATTCTAATAGTTAATTTTAATAAAATATAAAAAGAATATATGCTATTTAATTTAATTTAAGCATGAGGTTTTGCATCTCTCTCTCTCACACACATATATATACATAAAGCAGAAAATGGGATTGCTTTTCCCATGATAATTTATATTTGAATTCTAAAAGAATTGGCTAAAATAATATTTTTTTTATGAATTCATTGGTTTTAAGGTGGATAACTTCCTTAAATTATAATGTAGATGAAATTTCATTTTATAAACAAAAAAATGATCTGTATAAAATACAAATTGATATGAAAAATACTTTAATCATATGGAGAAAGTTTCCAAAATTTAATTTTTGAATATAGTTATTTATCCTTCCTTGATTGTTAAATAATTAATACATAGTTGAACTTTCATCTTTATATAGAATTCTTTTCCACAATATTTTTTAATATTTGAACTCAAGATGACAGCTTGAACATTTATAAATATTGAAATTTGAACAAAAATCCTATGAACCTAGAAGCAATAGTAATATTAATGTAACCAAATTTAGAAAAACAGAAGGAACTCCACATGTTTAAGATCAGATACTGCATTATTTATCCCATCAAACAGCAATCCCACTGATTTCCATCGCCAAAATGTACTAGTTCTTGCCACTCATGAACATGAACCAGCACTAACGGCAAAAGCTCTCTCCCCCTTACAGAAAAACATGAACTTATTTTACTCTACTTCACACTCAGTGCAGCTCCCCAAATCCATTTTCCATTTCCAAAATACCCCAAAACTCAATCATTTAAAAAGAGTTGTTACTTCCAATTTAGAAACAATTGGTAGTAACATTTTTAGTAATTTAACACCATTAATTTCCATTAAAGCAGTAAGGGAAGGAGTGGATACAGCTGTGGTGGTGGAGGAGGAGGAGCCTAAATTGAGAAAATTTCAGGTGTTTGAAGGCCATCCTGCACCATTTGGGGCTACAGTTCGTGATGGTGGTGTCAATTTTGCAATATTTTCTGCGAATGCAGTTTCTGCTACTCTTTGCTTGATTTCTCTTTCTGATTTGCTTGAGGTTGGTTGATATTCAAAACCCCCTTTTGGTTATTGATAGTAATTTTCTTGCTATATAAAGTTCATATTTTGATCCCATTTTGATTCTTGATTATAGGTTTACTATTTGCTTTTAAGTTTACAGTTTTATGGAATTCGAAACACCCGTTTGATTCTTGATTACTTTCTTGGTTTGAAGTTCACCTTTTTAATGAGTTTTTGCTCTGAATGAATAGTAGAGGCTTTTTATTTTTTATTTTTTATAATGTTTTTTGATAGTAGCTTCGATTTTTGTTTTGAAGTTCATATTTTTAATGCAGTTCATTCTTGATTGTAGCCCTATCATTTGCTTTGAAGTTCCCATTTTTATGGAGTTGGAAACCCCCCTTTGATCCTTGATTGCTTTCTAGGTTTGAAGTTCACATTTTCAATGAGTTTTTGCTGTGAATGAATACTAGAGGCTGTTTAATAATTGCGAAGACGATTGTAGTAGTAGTAGTGTTTTTTTTTTTTTTAGTTTTATGCTTAACAGTTTTTCCTTTGAGGGCACCTTGAATGATTATTTCTTTTGCCTTTTGTCGATGCAGAATAGGGTGACTGAGCAAATTTTTCTTAATCCGTTGACCAACAAGACTGGGGATGTTTGGCATGTGCTTTTGAAAGGAGATTTTAAAGACGTGCTTTATGGGTACAAGTTTGATGGGAACTTTTCTCCTGAAGAAGGACTTTACTACGGTCCTTCTCAGATCGTATTGGACCCTTATGCAAAAGTTAGTTTCACCTTTACCTTTTCATTATAAGAGTGTTGCTCATAGCCTTTTGGTTTTAGTTGTAAGCAAATGCTGTCAACTCTGATATTCTGTTCGTTTGTCTAGGCAGTTATAAGCAGAGGGGAGTTTGGCGTTTTGGGGCCTGATGATAATCGCTGGCCTCAAATGGCTTGCATGATACCTACTACAGACGATAAGGTACTTGAGGCTTAATTCTCTTCCTTTATGTGTGCGACGCCTTATTTACCTAAAGGGAATCACCAAGCTGTACTACTCAGTTTGGTAAGAAATTAACAAGGACTTGTATTATTATAGACTCTTGCTGGCAGGAAATCTGCCAAGTTTGGAAATGACTTTTTATTGTATTTTGGTACCTGTTTCACTCTTGTTTATTTGACTATTGCTTTAAGTTTAGTTAATGCATTTGTCCATTTGACGTTTTCAGTTCGATTGGGAGGGAGATTCACCATTGAAGTATCCACAGAGAGATCTAATAATATATGAAATGCATGTTCGAGGGTTTACACAGCATGAATCAAGTAGGACCGAATTCCCTGGTACATACCTTGGTGTTGTGGAGAGGCTCGATCATTTGAAGGTATGTTTGGAGCATTTCCGTTTTATCTTATGAGCAGTTCTCTGTATTTGTTTTAAGAAAAAAGTCATTCATAATTGCATACAATCCTCATTTTGGTTGTTTATGCGATTACAAATCAATGGACCCCAAAATTCTTCTTGTATTGCTTTTTGAATCATCCCCTGTTTATGACTGTCTAGATGTTTTATATGGGTAATGTCTTTCTGAATCGGTGTTTGTTTTATTGAAGCGACCCGAGATTGTGTAATCATGAATAACATATAGCTGCATGTTCTTATTAACCATTTACTGATTTTTCAGGAACTTGGTGTCAACTGCATAGAGTTAATGCCATGCCATGAATTCAATGAGCTTGAGTACTACAGTTACAATTCTGTTTTGGGTGACTACAAGTATGATGATTTCCCTCTTGTCAGTGACTTTCTTTGTGGTACTATCCAAGATTATTAGCTCATGAATTTTTCCTAGAAGATCTATGTTGCATTTTATAGACATAATAAGCTCCTAAATGAGTCCTTGTGTGGAAAATTTCTTATTTGGAGTTCATTAAGATCTCTGACCAGATGCTCTTTGCCTGCCTGTAGCCTCTGAAAGCTTACTGGTAAAAGATGCTTTAGTTTCTTAACAATGATAAATTATTGCGACATTACAGCCCACCTTATTGTGCTGTTTGTAATTTTGCTGTCTTTGTCTTTTAACCTTTTCTTTTGCCTGTGGAAAATAAAATATCAATAATGATGTTTCCAACTTGTTCAACTACATGAACTTCAGAATTTCTGAAACAAAATAATGATGCATTGCATTTCATATGATGCTTATGCAACAGTTTCTTCTACAGGGTTAATTTTTGGGGATATTCTACTGTCAATTTCTTTTCGCCTATGACAAGATACTCATCTGCTGGCACACGGAACTGTGGCCGTGATGCAATTAATGAGTTCAAACTTCTTGTTAAAGAAGCACATAAACGAGGAATTGAGGTGACAATTTGCTGCACTATGATATAGCATGTCTTTGATGAGTTTTTTGGAATATTGGTTTCTAATTTTGCTCAAGCAGGTGTTCATGGATGTTGTTTTCAATCACACAGCGGAAGGAAATGAGAAAGGCCCCATTCTATCTTTCAGAGGAGTTGATAACAGTGTCTATTACATGCTTGCTCCTAAGGTATGGTTCTTGATGTTATAGCAAATTCAATTCTGGTCTTCAATTAAATGTGGAAATATTTTAGAAAAAAATACCAAAGATATTGCTGCTATATGTTAATCTCCTCTTGTGGGAGAAAAATTGCTTCTGATATCCCAAGTTTGTCTGTATTTCAACTTGTTTTTATGTTGCAATATTCCCGTACTCCTTCAGTTTGTGCTTTAAATAGAACCAAGGACGCTTTATTCTTCCTTCCTTCCTTCCTTCCTTTTTTTTTTTTTTAATATCTAACAATGAATTGAAAATATGCTGAAATGGATATTGCAACATTGTTTTGTGGCCATTTTTTTATATTCTATTGGCTTTACGGACAACTGATCTGGCTCCGTGTCCCACTTTTGAGTTTTTACGTTGTTTAGTCTACCTCAGTTTTAAATTTTTCAAAAGATAGAAAATGTGAAATGTGGTATCCTTTACTTTAATGCATTATTATTGTGATTAACGTGAGCTAAGTGTTACTTTATGGTATTACAGGGAGAGTTCTATAATTATTCAGGTTGTGGGAACACATTCAATTGTAACCATCCTGTCGTGCGTCAATTTATATTGGACTGCTTAAGGTAGATTTACATGAGCTGTCTATTCTGAATTTTTAGAAAGAGTGATATTTATCAGCATTGTCATGTTTCTTGATGGCACCCTATGAATTTTATTTTGGACATAAGAAAAAGTCATGATTTAAAACTGTGAGTTACTTTGATCACATGTTACTTGTCCGTTGCACTTTGTGCCATGAGAATGTTGTGTTTAAGCTAAAACCCAATGTTGTCTTCATTTCATGTGAGGTTTTTTTGGTTGGGCCTTCTAGAGTTCTTCGTTTGTTCTTATTCAAGGGTGTTTGAGGTTCATCTTGCTGTTGGACATCTGGAGGTCTATGAGGCCATTGAAATAGCCTGGGAGCATGGATAAGGAATTTCCTAAAATCCAAAGCTTTATACTTATATCAGTTGATAATGCTGTGGATTTAGTTAATGCATTTAAATGCTGGTAATGCTTTACGAAATGGCATATCTTGAGGGCCTTTTTGTTTCGTCTGTCCTCCTGTGTCTGTGGGTGAAGGATTTTATGCAGGTTGTTAACAACGTGTATGCTTTATCATTATTCCTTGTGTCATTCTTGATTGGTTGCCTTTTATTTTTTCTTTGCTTCCACTATGGGTTTTTCTCTAACGTTTGTTATTCTTTAAATGCAATTCTTCTTCTCTACTGTGGTATGATCAGGTCTCACTAATTCATTTTTGTCTCGCAGATATTGGGTGACAGAGATGCATGTAGATGGCTTCCGCTTTGACCTTGCTTCTATTATGACTAGAAGTAGTAGGTTGTAGCTAATTTGTCACCATAGACCATATTATTGTTCATTTGTGTTGAAAACTGGACATTTCAATTTTTATGCTGATGAACTGTTTTTTTATTTTCTCAACCAGTCTCTGGGATGCAGTTAATGTATATGGGAGTCCCATAGATGGTGACTGGCTGACAACTGGCACTCCTCTCAGCAGCCCTCCATTAATTGACATGATGAGTAATGATCCAATACTCTGTGACGTTAAGGTACTTGTCTTCAATTACTTTCTCCGTGCTCCTCCTGGAACTGTGCTCTGATCGGTTTCCCTGCATCAATTTGAATTCTCTCACAATGTCTTGAATAGCTTATAGCTGAAGCATGGGATACAGGAGGATTGTATCAAGTTGGCAAGTTTCCCCATTGGCGTATTTGGTCAGAATGGAATGGGAAGGTTAGTGTGAATTTTAAATTTCAATGTGATGCTGCATGAATAGCCAAAATGCATAGGCAGTCTATTATACTTCTTCTGTCTCTGTCACCTTGTTATTAAGAAAAATAAAAAGTTTAGCAACTTTAGCATTTGCATATTCATTTCTATTGAGTTTCTGCCTGTTTTGATTTAAAATCTACTTTTTTCTAGTATCGAGACATTGTGCGGCAGTTCATTAAGGGTACGGATGGTTTTTCTGGGGCTTTTGCTAAATGCCTCTGTGGGAGCCCGAACTTATACCAGGTGTGCCTTCAATCTCTCTTTGCTCAGTTCTCATGTCTGTTAACCTTTTATTTGTTCAGTTCTTAGGTGTGTATCTTTACTATTATGAACCGTTCTCTAATTTATTTGTGCAATTTCTTTTTTGCTTTTGTATTCTTAAATGATAGATTTGTACAACACTACTTGTAGTCTGAGAAATGATTTATATCGTGAAACTGGGTATACGAATATGATTATATGACATAAAGAGACAATGACTGAACTGTTACTAACTACAACTTCTTGACCTTCTATTTCAAATGTCTTCTTTGTGTAACCAATTTTGTGATGTGTAGCAGCACTCATATAGTCTTGGTCTAGTTATTGGACTATTTAATGCACTTTCTGTACTGGGCTGATATATAATGATATACATGCTCGACTGTCTAATGGTAAATTCATTAAATACGGACTAGCCTGACATTGGCATTTGATGCAACATAAGATAGATTCTAATTCTCCAGAGCATACTCTGCTCTATGATTCATTTAAGCATGCTATTTTGAATTATTTTGCAACATTATAATTTTTGGTTTCTAAATGAATCAATGGATCAGGAAGGAGGAAGGAAACCATGGAACAGCATCAACTTTGTATGTGCGCATGATGGTTTTACTTTGGCTGATTTAGTGACATATAACGAGAAGCATAACTTGGCAAATGGCGAAGACAACAATGATGGAGAAAATCATAACAACAGCTGGAACTGTGGGCAGGTACTTACACTAACTAAAGTAGTCCATGTTCTCTGAGCCATGCCTTATGTAATCTGTTTGCAATTCACAAGTATATGAGGTTCAGGTTACAGAAAGACCACTATAATTTATCCGACTTGTACATGTGTTAATTTGCATTGAAATACGCATCATTTCATGCTGTATTAAGTGAGCAACATGACAAAATGATTAAATACTGCAGGACAACTCTTTTTTTACTTGTAATTTCGTTCTGAAGTTTTGTGATTGAAATTGCTGTTTATCCTAGTAGTTGCATTAGACTATTGAAACACGTGGTTTATGTGGATTCATTTTGTTTCTTCAAAATGATTACATAGGAGGGTGAATCTACCAGCATTTCAGTGAAGAAATTGCGAAAACGACAAATGCGAAATTTCTTCTTGTGTCTCATGGTTTCACAAGTAAGGTTCAAATTCTCTTCTTTTTCTTGCTTCTACAAATCTCTTAGCCTGATGGTTCCACAATTAAGACTTCTTTTATCTGACCAGGGTGTTCCAATGATATACACGGGTGATGAATATGGTCACACAAAAGGGGGAAACAACAATACATATTGCCATGATAACTCTGTAACTTTCTACACCCAGTTCCTTCCCAGATCCTCCATCGAAGCCTACTGTTGATTATTTTGACTATTATTTGTCTGCTACTATGCAGATCAACTACTTCCGGTGGGATAAGAAGGAAGAATCCTCATCAGACTTCTTTAGATTTTGCCGGCTCATGACCAAGTTCCGCCAGTGAGTATATCCTTGATGTGAACTCTACTTATGCATTTGCTTTTCTGCTCAACTGTTTCTCTCCCCAGTTCCATCTTATGAGTTGTCAACTTGCAGTGAATGTGAGTCCCTTGGCTTGAATGACTTCCCAACAGCAGAGAGGCTGCAATGGCATGGTCATGATCCTGGAACACCAGATTGGTCGGTAAAAAGCCGTTTTGTGGCCTTTACACTGGTATGCTTTCTCACTGCAACTAGCATGTCATTTCATTTTAGACATTCTGGAGAAGTGATTGAGCAAGAAAAAGAAAATATTAGGCGTGGCTGATGGCAGCAAACGTGTGCTTGATGGCCTTAAGTTGAACGTATTAGACCCCAAAGGTGAGACTTGTGAAAACAAACACAACTGAAGGCATGGGAGGAAGATGAAACAGGAGACAATTACTGAAATGATTGAGTCTTCCAAGGTTTTTCGTATAGATTATAAGGTTGTACTTAGCTGTGACTTTTAGTCCCAGAATGAGTGGATTATAAACACTGTTTCTGTGTTTGATCACAACCTTCTTTGCATCACACTCTCTTGCCTCTTTACCCTCTCAAACTAATTTATGCATCATTGATCCTCATTTTACTTTCACTTAGGGGTGTCCCCGCTCTTCATTATCGATCACTTCTGTTTTTTTTTGAGCCAGACTGACTCGGTGAAGGGCGAGATCTACATCGCCTTCAGTACTAGCCATTTGCCAGTTACCGTCACACTGCCAGAGCGGCCGGGATACAGATGGGAGCCCCTGGTAGACACTGGCAAGCCTGCACCGTTTGATTTCCTCTCTAGTGACATCCCTGAAAGAGACATGGCAATTAAGCAGTATTCTCACTTCCTAGAGGCCAATTTGTACCCTATGCTCAGTTATTCTGCCATCATCCTCTTGCTCTCTCCCGACGGCAATGCTTAGCTCTCTAAACCTAGAGCCAGACAGTATGCATGCAACTCATTGTATGGGAGGGGCAAGGAACCCTTGTAAAGAAAAAGAGAGAAGAAAAGAAATGTAGTTGAGGCAATGAATGAATGTTCTCCAGAAGGTGGATGTGTAGATATGGTTTAGCAGTTGGAATACGAAATTGTATGATGCCTGTACAATCTTCTGCTATGGTTGTAACAATTTTTGGATTTGTTTGATCCTTTTACCTTTCATGTGGTTGAATTAATCTTGTAGATTGTGTTGCTATTTTTAATCTGCCATCGAAACGTGTGAAGGTAAAAAAATGAGCAGAGTATGAAGTCAGTTTTTATTCTCTTGTTAAAAATGTTTTATAGATATTGAAGTGGATAAAGATATATATATATATTATGTTAAAAATGTTATATATATATATATATATTATGTTTGCAAATATAGCTTTTAGGTAAATAGTATTCATTTTATAAATTATCGATATTCATTATTATTATTATTTTTTTTTGAAAAAACTTTAACATTTAGGAATTTAATTGCACAAGTTTTATAAATTAAAGGTCATAATGTTTTTTTTAAAAAAAAGAAATTGAGAATAAAAAACTTATAAATAAAGTATCTAATTGAAAAAAAAAATTTAAGGATCACAATAACTTTTTTTTTAAACTACTGAGAATAAAATAAAATATTTTGATGATTTATTTTTAAGTTTATTAAATAAACGGATAATTCGAGTCTAACAAAGAAATTATTTAACAAATAGAAGTGAGACTTATAAATAATTTTTATGTTGAATTTCATATTTTCTTAGAAGAAGAATAGAATTCTTATTATATCTAATAATTTTTTCATTATCAAATAGAATTCTGTCTACCTCTGTACAATTGGAATTATTCTATACAAGCTTTAATTTTCTTTTTCAATAATTTTATCAGTTTTGAAAAATGGATGTTTTTTTTTTTTTTTGGGATTCGTAAGGTATCTCAGATCTGAAAAATTAGATTAATTTTTTATTATTTTATTGGACCCATAAGATGTGTATAACTACTTAATGAGCTTTCTGTATCCATAAAAACTCAAATTAAGGATATTTAAAAAAAAAAAAAAAAACATTCCTCAAAAATAGAAGAAAACAGAAAAGAGAAGAAGGGTAAAACCGTAAATAAAACAAAAAGCCGGTGCTTTCTTTCTGTCTCAGTTTCTCTCTAGATATATCCAGAAACCCATAGAAAATTCTCACGTCACCTCTCCGTCCTTTTCTTATAACACCGAAAGAGAGAGTAGAAAATGGGAGATAGCAAAGCATCTAACAGTTTCGATACAAAGCACAAAATCAATCAAAGTTCACAAATAATGTCTGGAATGGCTCCATACTTGTCGTCATCTTCATCTTCTTCTTCAATGAAGATGTTGAAGAGGAAAGAAGTAGATGAAGTTAGTGATGAATTCTCCGATTTCTCCCTCTCTGCTCCTGCTCGCAAAATTCGCCGTCTTGTATTGGTACTATTCCACTTCCTGTTTCTCTATTTGTTCAAAAATTGAAGATTCTTTGAGAAAGTATTCATGGCTTTTGCGTTTTTTGTTTTGGTTTTGTGTTAGGATGCTGATTTACCTCCAATAATAGAGGAAGAAGAGGGATCAACGGTGTCAGTTGGGTTTGTTGGAGAAGAGGAGGAGAAGAAGCAGGGAATGCAAATAGAGGAGTTGATGATGCCTGAATCATCGTCATCAGCAAGTTCTGATAATGAAGAGAGGGCTATTGTTTTATTCAAGCCTGTTAATAACCTTCAGTTACTTCATCGTTCTCCTAATGATTTCTCTGTTTCTCTTGATTCCAATATCATGTCAGGCTTCAAAAGTAAGCGATCCAGCTAATTTCTGTGATGGGTCTTTGTAATTTTTGTTGAGACGTGGAATTTGAGGGTTTGAAATTTATGGCTTGTGGCTAAAATTAAATAATTTTTTTGTGTTCGCAGATCAATTTCTATGGTCAGGCCGATCTGGTGAAGTAAAATCACGTGAGGAAGAAGAAGAGGCAGGTGCTAGAAGGGATAATAGCATGGCTGTGGTCCCTTGGGTTCCTTCTCAAGCTCGGCCTGTTTTTGTAGAAGAGATGGTGGATAATAATGCTACTGTTCCGCAAACTGAGGGTGTTGTAGAGCTGATGGATTCTGAGGAAACGGGAGAAGCAACAATGGATATTGAAGAAGACAGTAATAATTACAATTCTAGCGGAAGTGTAGGGCTAGGGCAAACACAAGGGAATCAGCAAGTTGGATTTGGTGGAATAAGAGCAGGGAGTGATGGCTTCCCTCAGTGGCAACAACAGCATTGCATGATGCCACAGATTCCTCAAAACCCCAACCCAACTCCTATTTCTTGGCTCCAGTGAAGAGGGCTTGTTGTCGATTTTAAGCATATGCCTCCAATTTTTTGCAAGTTTTGTTCATCTGGAGTCCAATCAAAGGTCAGAATTTGGTGAATATGGAATGTATATGATGGAGTGGAGAGAGTACTAGAAAGGGTTGATCTTGTTTTCTTGGCTTTTTTTGGGGCAACCTCCTCCTGTTTCGGTTATTGGGGAACTGAGAGTTCCTTGTATGGTTAGGCTCTGAGGGTTTCTTCAGATGGGAAGTCTATTGTAGAAACAAAGTTTAGATGCAATAGTAAAATGTTAATGGTTTGCAGGATCTTGTTTTTCTTCCTAGGTTAATGTCTTTTCAACGGTTTTGCTTGTTTTGTCTTCAAGTTCAATGATCGAGCAATGCATTCGCTCTTTTAAGCAAATCCATTTACTTCTTTAAGCAGTTCCTCCCCCATTTTAATGTGACTGGTCGAACGAACTAGAAGAGCTCGAACTTTCAAAATGAAGCCTCAATTTCAAATCTTTTCGAGTGCTTATTTGGTAGCATCATGATACGCAGCAGAAATGGAAATAACTTAAAAAAAGAGTTTTAAGACAGTTCAGAGTATCTGTTTCTACTATTAGTTTCTTGGCACTGTGTATCCATTTTCATAAGATTGGACATCACGTAATACAACAAAATTAATAATACACACTGAAAAGAATGAAAAGATGAAAACGCCCAGGTGATTGATTGTTGAAACAGCTTGAACATTATTGAGGGATTGGTCCTCTATTCTGAAAGTTACAACAAATGAGAGACAAAAATAAACATAACGATCCGTCTGAGCCTCTCACGAGTCTTCTACATCGATCTAATTGTTGTCCCCAACTTCAAGCACAAAAATAATGGGACTGTCATGTATGTTTCCCGATCGGACGGTCTCTATAATGGTTAAGGTGGCACTGAACAAATAACTGTACGAAACCAGCTACGAGGTGGAGCTGTCTCTCTGCTTAGTCTCCTGATACATATACTTTCTCTGCATAGTACTTCTTCTCACTTGCTGCCTTCTTGGCATTTCGTTTCTGCGTTGATGTTGAGGGTTAGTCACAAGCAAATCATCATGGAATGATAGTAAAGTGTGGTTACAATGCTACTATCCAAAAATTGGTCGCGGTGGACTTATTCGTGAGGTATAGAAATGGCCAGCCAATGCTTTATCGAGGAGCATGACATCATAATTGAAAGATCATAAAAGGAAGAATGCTCAAGGCAAGCAATCAAGTAAAGATATTAGATCCTAAACTCCGCCAGAATGAAAAGTTTCAAAATTTGAGCAGTACAATTGTTTATGCCCTGAACAAACTGAAAATCGACTCATTCACAGTTGAACGAAACATGAAGATGCCTTGTGTAAATCTGAATTCAACGATATTAACAAACCAGTTTGACTCACTGAACACGAGACATTGGACAGGGACCTACTAGTCCCGGCCCATCCAATGCTCACATCATCGGGTGAGTTAAATTGTCAATAATAATCAGTGAATTTAGCAGTGCTCAAAGGCCAATTGGTTAGTTTTTTCTGACCAATTTTTATGAAAGTGTGGTGGTGCAACGATTGATCGATGGTTGGCACACGAAAAATGCACAAATGGAATGTCAATCCAAAAGGGAAAACACAAATCACGTCGAACTCATTCAAGTAAAGCAAGGGTGAGAAGCTTAGGAATACCAAGTAAGCCTCGTGATTGGCAACTATCCTTTGGGCCACTGAAGTGGTTGTTATATTTTTAGGGCTGTCAAGCATCCGGAAAATTCCTAAGCTCTTTGGAACTGCATATGGATCGGGTTCAACCTGCATAAAGCAAAATATTTTCTTCAATTTTCCAATTCCTTAACACACATAGAAGTTGCATGAAAAAAAAAAGAAAAGAGAGAGAGAGAGAGAGAGAGATGATTCAATCAGAGAAATTGAAGCGTCAAGCTTACAGCCAACAAGGAGTTGCTCTCGGCTACTGTTCCATGCACAACCAAGGAGATGTTAAAAGTTGTGACCTGATCATGCAAATAAAGGAAGACCTCAGGATTTTGTTTTTGGAACAAAAATCATACAACAACACTGATCATTAAAACAAAGAAATTACACGGTAAATTCCTGTTGCTGAAAGCTAAAACCCAATCCGCTAGCAATTTTAAAATTCCAACATTAAAACAATTTTTCTTATATTGGCATGCATTAACACCATCTCTGAGTGCATCTGTGATGCATCAACAATAAACCATTATCTGTGTCAAAATCAGGCCAGTTGCATGCTTTGACCAAAGAATACAAATATCCCAGAGGCACTAATACTTAGAACACACTAAAAGTAAATAGAGACAATTAAAAAATACCATGTCTTTTGTAACTTCCCAAGGCGCACCGATGATGACTTCATCAACATAGCGGCAGGCCAGCACGCTAAGACTACGTTCATGCAGATGCATAATTGGGTGACCTTTCCCTCTGTGTTCACTACACAAAACAGCATTATGTTTTATTATATTTTGCTATATTGATACAGCAGAAGTGCAGATACACAGCCTTATGCAATGCATTCAAAAACGTCAATAGTGCAAAATATTGCCAATATCAAGTGTAGTGATGAACAACGTACAAAAGTATCAAGCATCAAAACAGATTAATGTATACCTTACAATCTGGTCAGTGTGGATCCCAACCAACAGAAAATCTCCAAGCTGCCTAGCACTCCTGAGAATCTAAGGACAAAAATAACAGGGAAAACATTTTTCTCAGCAAATTTACAAAGATGGTTGACTTTTAGCAATAAAAAAAATAGCAAATGATATATACTATTGATGTGTGCATAATGCATCCACCAGTATAACAAACAAGGGAATCAATCTTGAGAGTCTTGAAAACTACAAGCTAACCAATTGCTTGTGGAAAATAAGTAATGAATCAGATGGAGCTTCATCCCCCAATAACCATGTCAGGGCCAAACCATTCTAATGATTCAGACCTGAAAAGGATCAACTCTGATCCAATCACATTTGATTTTGCTATTAGACATAAAAACCAGAAGATATCATAACTCATCCCTGAGTACTAAAATTGTCAGTTTGAGCTACTGTCGAGTTTTGCTGTGTTTGCATGCCAAAGGAAGGTATCTGAGTGAGTAGCAGTGAGCCATGTATACCTATTGTGCCATGTTAAAAATCCCTAAGCCAGTGCACAATAGAACTACAGTCCAGAAAAACGTGCAGTAATATTGGGGCCACAAACTTTGGCATGGCAATGAGGAGATACAATCTTAACCTTTTCATTGTGATTTGAAATTGCAAGAATCATTGCAAAGAATGTTCAAAGTAAAGCGCAGAAAATTAATGATACCTCCACATGTCCAGCATGGAAGAGATCAAACGCTCCATCAATGTAGACAACACGAGCATTTGGTCCAGGTGCCTAAGATTTCATACAATAAGCAGTGTTACTTGAGCAAATAAGATCCACATACACTCATGACAGGATGAAAAATTTACTTTATGCCCCTTAAATCATGCTCGGGATATCTGATAAAACACCTTAATTTCCCTTTTAGTTCCAAACAAGAAATGCAGGCATGAAACGTACGCCACAGATAATTTTCAATAGGAAGATCAAATATGCCATAAATAATTATTTCCAGTTAGTGGTTACGAACTCATGCTCTGCTGCCTTCACAAGGTAATTCTGAAATGCAAAAAAATGATACCTTGCCATTTGAAAATTGTACAATTCGCCGGGATGTTGGTAGAAATTGGGATATATGGGCACTGTTCGATCGACTTCCTTTAGGAGCATCACCAGGCAAAGATGATGTATCATCATGATTTTCACGAGCTTCTGTACCCTTCAGAGAAGAAAGTATTCTCCCTAAAATTCAAATAAGTTAAGCTGTAATTAGAAACAAAATAAAACAAGAAGGTTATCTTTAGAAGAGTAAATGATGACAAAAGGAGCTGGTAATAAAAAGATCTGAAGTCTCCGGTACAGGATCATGATGATTTGAAGAAAGGAATCAAACACTTCTACTGATGACATGCCCTCAACTCAAATATAAGTAGAGCTTATTCATTGATAGACCAAAACATATTGTTATGATCTTATTATCTTTTTCTTCCAACTAATCAATATTTAATTCCAACAAATGCACAGATTAATCAAGAGAAGTAACAGTACCTACAATATCTGTGCTGGAGACGCCTTCAGTACGTTTGATCTGCTTATAACGCCCAGCCTTCTTGGCCAAGGCATAGGCATCAGTTCCATCAGGAAGCAAGCAAGGATCATCACCATGTATGATATAATCAATCTTATGCTCATTGAAGAGACTCTTCATAAATTTCTCTGTAATGGCATAAGGAGCATTGGCTATGACTTCATCCACCCACTTCAATCCACTAACAAGGGCCAGCCTAAGAAGAATGACCATGCAGAATATATATATACATATAGTCCAGTTAGCATATTGCAAGTAAAAATTAGCTGAAATACAGAACTTTCTTCATATTCATGTTCTACAGTCCATTGCAGTAATAACTAAATGGAGACAAATGAAATTGTCATGATTGAAGTAAGTGAACCATCACCCTCCAGTACACAGCACACCAGGTAATCTAAGTCATAAATTTTGACCCCTTCCATTACTTAACCATTGGACCACAAGATTTTGCACATCAATTCCTCATAACTTCGAAAACTGTATAGGAATCAACCAACTCTGATCCCATGACTTGACTTTTAAAAATGAAAACACAACAAAAGATAAGAACACTTCAACTGAAAGGAACAAGTATAGTCATTTCAAACGCTAAAAGACAAAACAAAACAAGGGGAAAAAAAATACAGCAGAAAAAACAGAAAGGAGCAATGCATTAAAATACCTCTCTTCCATAGATAAAACAGGAGGGCCCTTATTGGCAACAATCTCCTCGTCACTAACAACACCAACCACCAATTCATCTCCTAAAGCCTTAGCTTGCCTCAAAGCATTAGCATGTCCATAATGCATAAGATCAAAGCAACCATCCATGTAAACCCGAATCCGCTTCTTATCGCACTTCTTTTTATAAAAAATTCCCAGATGAGACCACATATAAGGCAAAGAAGAGAACCCGAGTCCACCAAAGTAACTAGTTGATAATCCAAGCAAAGCAACTGTTAGCATTAATCCACCAAAAAGATGTGGGTAGTAATACACCCCATCCCAAATCGAACTGCTGCTCTCATACTCCATTCTCCAATTCTCCTCTATTTACTTTGTTTCAGCAATTCCAATCTAGAGGAGAGAGGATTGGAGAAAGAGAGTAAGAATATATAGACACACAAAACCTGCATAAGTTCAGACAATAATTGAAGTCAGTTACGAAAAGAAACGTTGTAATTTATCAACATAAACGAGAAACTAAAAACTGGGTTTTTCTTAGACTATCCTAAATCAATGTAAAGTTGTTTTCTTGAACAGTCCCTGAAAATGTTTAAAAAAGAAGAAGAAGGAATTCAATGAAAAAGAACACCAGAAACACCAACTAAAATTCAAATTAAATTGTAATTCCAATGGCAAGCTAAAAGAAAAAACAATAATTACAATAAATCTGAATAAATTTCTTTTATTTACTTTTCTCTTCTTTTTTTCCAGTAAATTACGAAATCAACCCAGAATTAAAAAAGAGAACATTTCTACAAAGAAAAATAGAAATGGGAGAGAATTCAACAAAAAAGGTTGCTAAATTTTATTAAACAAATAAATGGGGGGCTTTTTTCTTGAAAATTAATGAATGGGGGTGCTCTAAATCTGAATCTAACTCAAAGCTTGAAAAAAAAAGAAGAAAGAATCTTTATTATGTTAGATTTAAAGAGAGAAAGAAGGAAAAACAGAAAAACCTGAAGGAAGGAATTGAAAATGAGAGAAACCAAGGCAAATGAAAGGAAATGAATTCTTAAAGCATAGAAACTTACGCCTAGAAATCTGAATCTGTCAGATCGAGAATCTTGTTTTCCCCTTATTTTTCTCTTTCTTACAATACTTCTAGCTGGTTTTTATCATGCGATATTGCGATGTTTCTGTCTTAATTTTCACCTTCACCACCTTTTCCTTTCTTTTCTTTTCTTTTCTTTTCTTTTTTCTCTCTCCTTGTGTTATACTTGTTTTCTTTTCTTTTTTTGGGGGGAATAAATCAGACCCAACAAACTGCAAGGATTCGTTCAAGAAAGAAACACTTGTCTTTCCTTTTCTTTTATAAAATGAATCTCTCACCTTCGATTTTTGTTTATTTATATGATTTCTGGTTTGATGTATCTTTGTGATTAAGAAAACAAAATATCTTTGGAAGGTACATTTTGGAGGGAAATATCAAATTAGTGCATGAACTTTAAATGAATTGTTGATTGAGTCTTCTAGCTATGAAATTTTATCACTTTGCGTGCTAACTTTTTCAAAATCAGTGAATTATCTAGTAGAGTGATACAAAAGAAATTCAAATTGCAAGGTATCTTGATAAAAAAAGAAATTACACATCTCGGGTGAGTCATCTACCGACTCTTCGAGTTAAATTTAATTATTATTCTTATATAGTTAGGTTCTATCGATTAGTATTACATATAAGAAATCAATTATATAGACACTAATACTAATATAATTAGATATGTTTTTTCATAGATAAATTTGAGATTTAAAATTCTAGATAAAATTAGTTTAGGATCATAAGATTCTCCTTCACCAAATTGATATAAATGAGATATTTTATAACAATGTTATTTATTTATTTTTAATTCACACATTCAATACACATATCCAAGGCTTTTAGCAAAACTGGTTTGTTAGAATTTGAACTCGTGATCGTTTATAAGATACCACTATTATTGGGCTACAAGCTCTTTGATAATAATGTTTTTTATTAAGTCTTATTTAAAATACAAATTATATCTCGGAAATATCAAAACCATCGTTAACCTCAAATTAGTTTTCTTAATCTCCATTAATCCATGCCTTAGTATTCATAAGATTATTTAAGCACTTGATAAAAAAAATTAAAACTTTGATCATTTACCCATGAGTTAGTGTCGTCGTTGAATTTACCATTGATATCATAATTTTGTCAAGTAATTTGATAATTTGATTCAAGTAGAGTTGAGTATGATAATTTAAATGGAGTTCAATTCACTTTATTTTTTTAAAATAGAGAGTTGACTTTTCCATGAATAGAGGAGAAGCCGGTTTTTTTTTTTTTTACTCAAAACCTTCTAGAAGAAAGAGAAATGCTAATGCTGATTGAGCTACAATTAATTGACTAATAGAAGCTACTGTGGAGACTTGAGAGAATGGGGCTACTAGAGTTGAAAATGGATATGATTGAAAGTTTAAATAAAGTAAAGGGACCAATTTTAAAAAAGAATACCTTGATTTCCCCTCAATATTCTTGGCAAAGTACGTGAATTTTGATGACTTTTACAATTTCAAATGTGCCCCCCTGTCGTATGGTAGATCTGCCATTCTACCCCAAAGGTAAAATCATGCTTAAGGTCCACATGAATAAATCGTGGTACGGAACAGTAATAATATTATTATTCCTATTTTTTACCGGAAACTGTAACCAATAAGACCAATGAAAATATTCAAGTCAATCATCATGATGTTATTGTTTTCATCTTCGTCCTTTTATTCTTATTTTTATTATAAAAATATCCATATATGAATTTGTACAACTGAAATTAAATGGCTTCATCGAATAACATTAAAAATAAATTTTATATTGACTTAATACATTTATGACAATAATATTTCTTAAAAACCAATCTTACAATTCAAACACGTAAAATCAAAATAAAGAACAAACTTTTTTAATCATAAAAGTAATTTTTTAAAATTCATCATGTTATTTTTTAATATTTATTTTGATTGTTTAAGAAAATTCGTCGTATGATATGGTCGTAATTAGATTGTAACAAAAAAAAATTCTAATAAATACATCAATATTGATATAAATAGTCTCATTAAAATCTAAACAAAAACAAAATTAGTTTCGAACATGTGTTAATAATAAAAAAAAATTCTAATAAATACATCGATCAGGATCACAACAAGCCAAATCGTGGAACCATTTTTATGTCACAAGAACAGCTTGTCTTGTGAATAAAATAAAATTGCGTGTAAACAAAACCTACGTGATCTCCTCCTATTTTGCGTGGCTTGACTTTCATGTTGAAATCGTGCATGGAAAATGTAGTCTAAATAGCATAAATTATTAAATTAATGTGGTTAGACATTTCCAAAGGCAGAAATTGGTGGTTCCCATTTTTTTGCCGTTTTGGTGGTTAAGACAAAACAGAAAATACAAACCGACAAGAAATTGATTTTGGACTAATTTACAAATGGGCTTCAACGAAAACAATGTTTAAGCCTTTAATTGACTTCTGGGCTTGCTAAAAGATTGTTTCTTTTTCTTCTTTGCGTCTTGAAAAAGATTGTTTCAGTTTTTCTATTATTCTAGGAAAATGTTTCCCGATATTCCGATGATAGACATTATTTTTAAAAATAATTTTAAAAATAAAAAAAATTAAATAATATAATATTCATTAAAATAAAATATTTAATTTTTTTTTCTCTAAAAAAAACTATACTTATAAAATTATGATATATGTATATATTTTTTGACATAACTGATGTCATGCAGCGCTGCTCATTATTTTATGCTTCCGCGCACGCGCGCGCGCGAGAGAGAGAGAGAGAGATGATTTGAGAACATTAACGTAGCTTCAGAGCAAAGCAAGACCAATAAAAGCAGAAAACCATGCAAGAATGACAGCAATCACAAAAGCAGATATTGCAAATCCCGATGGAGGTGGTGGGTGGTGGGATCTTTATTATTCTGCCATGGTGATAAAAAGGGATAGAGGTAATGGTGTGATGACGACGACGACGATGATAATGACAGTGAGATAGAAAACAAGTTTTCAGTCAAAGTGATATTCGACTAGGTTTCACTGCAGCCAAGCTTGAGCCTTTGGGTTCCCTTACAATTAGGCTAGTTTGGGTAATGAGTTCATTAGAATAAATGTATATAGTCTTGCCCAAAGATTGAGTTTAAACCAGAGTTAAGCCCATTTACAAGATAGAACCATGATGCAAAAATACATAACAGAAAAAGATAAAGCGAGCAACCATGATGCAAAACTCCGACGATAGTGGTGATGGATTTTTGTTTTGCCATGATAATGGGACGATGATACTGGCATTAATAGGTGTTAGAGAAACTATCTTATATCAAATAAATAAATAAATAATAAAAGAATAATATATAAAGTCAGAAAAGATCATTGTTTTTTAGTGAATGACTCTATTTTATAGATTGTATATTTATTTGGTCTGAAATAAGTTTTTTTTGTCAAATTTAATATGGTATTGAATTTAAAAAAACCAATTAATCCAACAAAGATTTTAGAATTTAAGTCATTTGACATATCTAAAAAAAGAACCAATAAAGGTTTTGAAGTTCAAATCACTTCACATGTCTCGATACTTTCCTCTCACTTGATTCCATTATTTGAAGTATGTTGAGCGATCAAATATCAAGTTTAAACAAGAATTAGCCCATTTACAAGATCGAAACCATGATGCAAAAAAGAGCTAATAGGGAAAGATAAAATGAGCAACCATGGTACAGATAATGCAAAACTCCAATGGTGGTGATGATGGATTTTTGTTTTGCCATGATGATGGAATGATATTTGATGAAGCTGTGATCCTTGAATAATTGATAATGATGAGGTTGTTTCCTACACGACTGAATATGCGGTGGTTCTACTGTAGTGGAGAGATGTCCGATAGCTTTATGGACCCTCCGACGACCTAGTTAGTCTACATAAGGAGGAGATCTCTGAATAGACCATAATGTTTACGTATTTTATGTGAGAATTAATAAACAATATATTTTATAAGTTAGAGAAGCAAAATAGAACCTAAAAATCTCTGGCTAATTGGGCTTTTATAAAGGGTTTTGAGTTACTTCAAGAGTGAGAGTAAAACAACATATTAATGTGTGACCAACATCTTCTTGAAATCTACTTGAGCAATTAAGATCACAATGATTCACATTTGACGATTCCAATGTTTCACGTTTGTTGACGGCATTGGAACAGCCGTGGTTGGTATTCATACAAGAACAATATAGCCTAGAGTGAGACTAAGAAAATCTATAAACCCATCATTTCCAAATTCCAACTCAGGATTCAACAAATGAACAAAACAGCTTGAGCTCTCAAAATACCATCATACACAGGCCAGATTCTCCACAAATGGGTAAGCATCAAACCATCCAAATTGCAAAGAACCTTTATTGCTATTGCCACAAATACCTAACTCATAAACTTTCTTGCAAGTTTTCTCCTTCAGGTCATAACAAATCACCTTACCAGGAATATGCAGCAAGACTAATGGTGAACCTTCTTCCCCTTCTCCTCTAACTACACAAAGCACAACAAATGCATGGTGACTCCTAGCCATTTCAGGAAATTCTTGCAAAACATGACTTAAATCCACTTGGCACATAACATCCCACTCAGAAGAATCCTTCTCCATCTCAAAAACCTTGAAATTACTAGCACAAGAACCATAAAATTCTATCAAAAACAAGTGCCCACCAGACTCACCAAAATACCTACACTTCTTCTTTCCCCTGCCCTCCAAGAATGGACGTTTTGGCATTGAAACAAAGCATTGTCTATCAACATTATAGCACATAACATTCCCAGCTGTACCAATCCAATGCATTGCACCATTCCAAAACACCCCATTATCAAACACCATATCATGTGGGCCAACAAAAGGTGATCCACAAACATGCCAAGAACCAACTTGAGAGTAATATTCCACAATCTGATGATAATATATTGAAGTGGGCATGCTTCTAATGCAAATAACTTTGTAATGGAAAGATATAGAAGGATCGAATGCCAAGTTCATGCCCAAAATAGTTGAAGAAGTTGCGTCAAGAATCGTAGGAAGTGTCGAGAATTGCTTAGTAGTAGGGTTGTAGATATAGTACCTACGAGTTGTGCCCATTGTGAATAAACTTGAACAGAGGAGCAGGCCGTTGCAAGACTGCAAAATCTTGATGCCGGCAGGGTCGTTGGTGAAGTCAAGAGAAGTGAAGGGAGGTACGGATTTGGAACTCTTGGAATTTTCGTAAGATAGGAATTGGAATTCTTGAAATGATTTGCGCAAGAAAAGGCCTGAAGTTGTTTTGTTGGGATTTTGGAGCGTGTGGAGGCTACAGAATTGACGACAGGAAATGAGGGAAAACCAGCGTTTGGATATCGATTTGAATCTGATAAGAGGTTTTGCTGGTAATCTTATGAGGATTTGGATGAGAAGATCTTGGTTGCTGGAAATTATTTCTGCTGAGGAATTGGAATCTATCATTTTCTTTTCGGATTTCAAGACTTGAGGTGGAAAAAAATAAGGCAGGCAGAGGAGACGTGATTGCAGATGGGGTTGGAAATTTATTGATCTTAGATTCTTAGGGGGCCAAAATTTTATAATATCACACACAATTCCATCAGGTCCCTAAAACTTTGGTGCTAATTTGTTATGGTCCCTAATTGATTTTAAAATTAATGGTTTAGATTAATTTTGAAGTTAGTGGGTGGGTGGCTGTAATCCTTTCAAAATTGATAATTCTTTTTTTATAAAAAAATCTAAACCATTGATTTCAAAATTACTTTTCATTTTCTAGCACAAAAGTCTTTTTAGATCCCTTTATTACTTTTTCATTTTTTAGCACAAAAAAGAAAAAAAAGATTTATGGTTTATTATGTCACTAATGGTACTTTAAAAGTACCTACTATTCTGTACTCCATTTATTTAAACAAAATTATGTCAACTAATTGATATACCATATTAATATTGGTATGATTTTTAATTCTATTTTCATATATTATTTTTATTTTTCTAAATAACTCAAATAATAGCAATTTCAGTGGTGTTTGTCAATCAATACTAAAAAATCCCATACCTTTTTACTATATATTTTCAGTGCTTACATCGAGTTCTGGCTTGCCTAACAATGAGCCTTAAGCCTCGGGCAATATTGCAAATCCAAATGGGGAGGATGGTTTTTTTGTTTCACCATAATGAAGGTGATGATCGCTTATCAATGATGGTGATGTCATGGGATGGTGATAATAATGAGAATAAGACATTGGTCTAGTACAAGAATGACAATGGCTAAGTAGAGTAAAATATAATGTAGTCACTTTAATTTTAAGAAACAAATTAATTAGTCCTTCTTGTTTCAAACACTAATTATTTTGTTCTTATATTTTTAATTTTTTTACTTAATCTTTTTCTTTTATTTTCAATTTATATTGATTTTTTTATTTTAAGAAATAGAAAAAAATAGGATGAAATTTTATGAAATAACATTAAATTAAGCATGATCAATATTGGTTAAGCAATTAGTTTTTAAAATAAAAAGGACTAATTAATTTGTTTTTCAAAAAATAAAAAGACTAATTTATAATTTACTCTAGTTAACTAAGTTTTGAATCAAAGCATAGAAGAAACCTTTTTTTTTTTTGGGTAAAGATATCCATCAAAGTCTCTTACCTATTTTTAAATTTTTAATTTCATTTCATTTGTTTCTGAAATTTTTTGAAATATTCAATTTATTTTTTTGATTAAAATTTTTTAATCATGGATAAATTTTTTTAATCAAATTGCCTTTTATTAAAAAGAAAAAAACTTAAAGTCACATGATCTGATGTTCTATTTTTTAAGTCTTTAGATTTTTATTTTATTTTTGATATTTTGATTAAGAGTATTTGGTTAAAAATAGATTCATATGATCGAAAAGACATATAGAAAACTTTGAGTATTATTTAAGAACATAAAACATATGAGTGCATTTATTATTTTATTTTATTTTATTTTATTTTAGCAGAAAGCATAGAAGGAACTGATGATATATGCAACAGCAAATTCAAATAATCATATTAATTCCAATTTAAAGTAATAGGCAATTAGGCATACCCTCACATCTTAAGCCCTCAATTCCACGATACTTGAACATAGCACACACATACCATCAATTAAACCCAAGATAAAGTCTCCGTATACTTGAAAGCACAGCAGCTGTAATGCTTGTAAGGATGAAAACTAAACAGCTTCTTCAATTTTTTGTCCCGGAAGCTGTAAGATATGATATCACCAGGCACGTTTATCACCAGCAATGGCCCTGGCCCTTCTTCATTATTTTCCTCGATAAAAAAAGATACATCAATGCATCTGTCTAGTAAACATGGCGAGACTGTAGGGTCCTCAATCGTCTCAGGATATGCCATTACAATGGCATTCACATCTACATAGTACTTTACAAACCATTTTGGACAAACTTTGTCCTTTGCATAAACAACAATGTATTGAGAACCAATCTTGCAACTGCTGCTCCTTCCCATTTGGTCATCAGACATATCAGGAGAAACATTAATGCCCATGTTCATAACATCAAGATTTTGTTCAGAATTGAATGACCCAATAAAGTGCAATTGCCCACCAGACTCCCCAAAATACTTGAAGCTGTTAGTTTCCCAAGATTCAGGAAGTGGAGGACTTGTCATTGCTTGAAGGCATTCTTCATCAAGCAAGAAACAGAACCCGTTTCCCTTAGGACTAATCCAGTGAATAGCACCATTCCAAAAGACACCATTGTTCAAGTTCACACACCAAGAATCAAAATTTTCTTGCTTCAGAGAAAGCTTCCAAATCTTGGTCTCAGATGAGTATACATGAATCTCAAGCACTGATTTGAAGTAGTGGATGCAAAGAACCTTGTAGAAAGGCGATTTCGAAGGATCGAACACCAATTGAATTCTATTAAAACGAATTCCATCACCCGATGGTAGGGTTAGCACTGCGAACTGTCTTGTAGTAGGATTGAATACATAATACGTTGTCTTATTTCTCTCTGCAGAATACCTGTTGCTTTTAGAACACAAAAGCAAGCCATTGCAGGACTGAGAAACATGAGTACTTCCAAGGTTATCGGGATCGAAGCTAAGAAACTCAGACGAAAGATTAACTGCTGATGATTTCCCATCAAGAGAAACATATTGGTAGCTACTTGGTTTCTTGAATAGGTATAGTACTTGGAGGAGGAGAGCAGAAATGGTGTGAGGATTAAGTTTGGTATGGAGGATAGCGAAACTGGGATTGGAGATTATAGATAGCCATTTCTTGGAGACTAGCTTGAATTTCAGGATAGATTTTGCAGGCAAATGCAATAAAATCTCAGTGAGAAGGTCATCAGCGCCAAAGACAGCATCAACAGATGATGAATTCGACTTCTTCTGCTTTGGTGAAATGAAAAGGAGTTCTAAATGGCTTGGAGAAGAGGAAGTCATTGTCCTATTTCTTTCTTCTGATCCACAGCTTAATTTTCTCTCTCATAGACACTTATACATTTTTTTTGTAACTTAATCATTTTCTATGCTTTTCGATTTATTTTATTTTTTATTTTAAAAAATAATAAATAAATAAATAAGTGAAAGAATTTATGAAAAAAGATGATATTTTATGATATAAAATATTATTAAATTAATAATAGTAGTCAATATTTGTTAAAAAAAATATATTTAGAAACTAATTAATTTGTTTCTAAAAAATAAAGAAACTAATTTATATTTTAATCAGACCCTCATCATGTCGGTAAGCACCAAGCCAAGCCTCCAACTGCCACTAACAGCCGACACTTAGTTTTACCCCGATTCAGTTCTTATATTTGTGTCAATTCTGCGAATAAGACCTTAAAAAATAATTCCATCAATTTTACCCCTGTATTCATCATTTCACCATAAACAGACTGAATCATCAAATGTATATATAATCTCTCCCTACAGGGTAAGTTCATCACAACTTGTTTACAATTTGGTCCAGTTGGTGAGTCGATGAAATGCAACTTATAAATGATAAATTTGAAAAAATTGTTTCAACAGAGCCTGATTGGCAAACACAAGTCATAAATTAGGGCCTTTTCTGATTACTTTCTTGAAAATTTTGATCATACAGGTATATTTCATCCTGCCATGAGTTGAATGAGAGGTGTGAATGGAAGAATTGATTATTCTTGACGATTTATTCCTCGAAGACAACTACCTATCCAATTTCAAATACTTTGCAAGTTCTAAGCAATTAAATTTGCAATTTTTATTCTTGAATGAAAAAATATACTATAATATACTACACATATCCTATTTCAGATACTTTGCAAAGTGCTTGTTGCATTTTTTTGACCTATCAAAAACTTAATAATAATAATAAAAAATAAAAAATAAGATAATATCAGAAAAACCTCTTAAAAAAGTTCTATCTAAAAAATCTAACAAAATATTTTTGAATCTACCAAACCCAAAAAAGTTATCTTCTTACCAAAATACTTACTATTTAACCACCAACTTACTATATTTTCATTATTGACAAAAATATTCTCATCTATTGGTTTAAAATTTTGGATTGTGATAATTTTTTTGATATAGTATTAAAGTTTTACTCATCAAATGGTTGCAAATTCGAGTCCTATCACTTTACTTTTATTTTATAATTAAAATTAAATAATTAAACACAAGATAATGATAGATTTGTATAAGTTTTAAATTCAAATAACTTCTATTAAAAAAAACGTGTTAAAAAATTATACAAACAATATCTTAAATGCTCACATAATAGTTTAATTAATTTTTTAGTTCAAATGGTTTTTTTTTAACGCTTCAAAAATAGTGTATTATTACTTGCTAACCTTATTGCAATATGATGCGCATGCAGGCCATCAAATTCTCAGTTGCACTTAAGTAACGATGGATGCGACATACTAGAAATTAAGCCTATAACGTTATTATCTTAGAAAAAAGTGATAACCGGAGAAGGTCAAATGTTTGAAGGAGTAAATGAATTTCAAGAAACATCAAAGAAAGATTCTATTCCAAATCAGCTGCAAATATATGACAAATGTATGAAGAATGAGTCGCATCAAGTTACGGCAAAATGCAAAGAGAAATAGTGCAATTGGAGGGAAGAATGGCAAAATGACCCGAACCTAGGTCACCCCGTCCCATTTCGTAATTTTTTTTGGACAGGGATTGGGCGGGGTTGGGGTTTGCCCACTCTGTTTCGTTTTATCTCGTCAACGAGTGACTTATAGTAGAGTTCGTGTGATTTGATCTCTTACTTGGGAAATAAAATTATGCAAATTGTATGTGCGTGTTATAAAATCTATCAAAACGGGATAAAGTTGAGCGAAACGAGACGAACGTAAATAATAAAATGGGATCTCGTTTGCCCTATGGGGATCCCTATCCCCGTTTGGGACGGGGATGAGATGACAAGTTTTGCCCCGTTCGGAGCACGGGATAGGGATGGGGAATTTTTAAGGGGGCGGGGCAGGGATGAAAATGATGATCCCTGCCCCGCCCCACTCAACTGTCATCCCTAATTGGAGGATATATACATTTATTTTAATCTTAATATATGCTACCACAAAGAAGCTAAACCGGCCAAGTTCAACGTCAAATTCCTACAAAATCCAAATCAGCTGCCCTACTCCGTTTTAACCTTTCCTTGGTGTTATAAAGAACGAAGATCATAAAATGGTTTAAAGTGTCTTACATTCTCAAAAGCCATACTCCTATATATTTTTCAAAGTTAATCTGATAAGTTCTATTAAGAGATAAATGCCTAATAGAGAGGTTTTGAAATTTGGAGTTTAAGTCTTAGGATACTATTAAATTCATCAATAAAATTGTTATTCCCATCACTTTTATTTTAGACAATTATCAATACATTATTCACCAATTATCAATAACATATTATTGTATGACAAATATTAATTAAGGATGTATTAGTAATTTTCTATAAAAAAAAAGTGGTGAGAATAAAAATTCTATTGGTGCACTTAACAATATCCTAAGTTTTATAATAAGGTTATTAAATTATTATTTTTGAACTAGGAGAGAGTGATTTAATTGAAGTTAAAAAAAAAAAAACCATAAAACACAGTGCACGTAAATTATAAATTAGTCTCTTTAGTTTTAAGAAACAATTAATTAGTCTTTCTTGTTTCAAGATTTTTTTTATTTAATCTCCACATTATTAAATTTTCTTGTAACTTAATCATTTTTAGCTTCTTTTCAATTTATTTTATTTTAAAAAATAAAAAAATAAGTAAAAAAGTGAAAGAATTTATGAAAAAAGATTACGTTTTATGATATAAAATAATATTAAATTAATAATCCCAAATATTAGTTGAAAAACTAAATAATTAGTTTTCAAAGCCGAAAGAAACTAATTAATTTGTTTCTAAAAAACAGAAGAACTAATTTATATTTTACTCAGACCCTCGGCATGTCGGTAAGCACCAAGCCAGCCCTCCAATTGCCACTAACAGCCATCGCTTAATTTTAGAAAATATCCCGGTTCAGTCCTTATATTTGTATCAATTCAGCAAATAAGACCCTAACAAGAATTCCATCAAATTTACCCCTAAATTCATCATTTCACCACAAACAGATTGAATCATCAAATGTATATATAATCTTTATGACAATAGGCGGATAACTGGCCCATTAATTTAATTTTTTTCTTATCTTATTCATTAAAAATATTCTACTCATTATTCGTTAAAAAATCATCATATAAATTTTTATCCAATCCATATTCAATTTATGCTAATTTACGCACTCATTAAATACTCATTACATTTAATTTGTAAAAAATATTCATTTTAGTCTCTATAATCTTTTAAAAAAAAATTTTATCCTTAATTATTTTTTTTTTTACATTTGGTCATTTATTTATAAGTTTTTGGTTCTCAAAGTTTTTTTTTAAAAAATATTTTGATCCTTAATTTTTAAATTTTATACAATTAAATCTCTCGCATGTTAATAAAAAAATCTAAATAAATTAGTGAATATTAATAAAATAAAAAATATGTATCTATATCCCGAAACCATATTAGTAAGTATGTATTTTTTTTCTTACTCATTTCAATACTACTACATACTCTTAATAGGTATTTTTTGATCAGGTAAAACAAATATCCGTTTTATACTTAGTCCATCCCTATCCTATAGGGTAAGTTCATCACAACTGGTTTACAATTTGGTCCAATTGGTGGGTCGATGAAATGCGACTTATATATGATAAATTCGAAAAAATTGTTTTAATCGGGCCTGATTTGCGGCAAACACAATGCATAAATTTATGAACTTTCTTGAAAATTTTGTGGTTCACTATTTTGTTAGCTGTTATATATATATTTGTCATCCTGCCATGAGTTGAATGAGAGGTGTTAATGGAAGAATTGATTATAGGAAAAATAAGGATATCATAGAACAAAGCATACGCATCCACTATATATATTTAAATAATTTCAATCAACATCCAATTTCAACTACTACTTTAGCAAATCTTAAGCAAGCACGCCTTGACGATTTTTATTCCTCAAAGACAACTAACTACCTATCCAACTTCAAATACTTTGCAAGTTCTAAGCAAATGGAGTATTTTATCAGAGAAACCTCTTTAAAAATAAGGATAATTATCAAAAAAACCTCTTAGAAAAATCTTTTATCTAAAAATCTAACAAAATATTTTTGAATCTACCAAACCCACAAAAGGTTTGTTCTTACCAAAAAAAAACCTTCTATTTAACCACCAACTTGCGGTTTTTTTTTTTTTTACATGGTATGGTATGAGAATTCTGCTAACCAAATTGAAAAGTCAAATGTTTAAAGGAGTAAAAGAATTTCAAGAAGCATTAAAGAAATAATCTTAATTGGATGAGTCACATCAAGTTACGGCAAAAGACAGAGAAATAAAGCAGTTGGAGGATACATTTATTTTAACCTTAACATATGCTACCACAAAGAAGCTAAATTCTGATAACAACAAAGTGAATGCATAAAGAACCAAGTTCATAAAATGGTTTAAAATGTCTTGCTTTCTCAAAAGCTATAAAATTTTCAATAGGAACAAGAATAGACTATCCACCCTCCATTGACCAAGACAACTCCATAAAGCAGCAGACTCTTTGGACCCTGTATTAGAAAAGTTCAGCAGAATCATTACATGCAATGATAACAACAAAGTGAAAGTAAAAGAATCGAAGGAAAATAAATAGTGTGTTTGATTGTATTTAAGGATATTTGTTGGGTTTTTTAGATAGAAAATTATTTTAGAAGGTTTTTCTAGTAATTAATTATCTCTACAAAATAAGACTACAAAGCCCTGAAGCTGCAAGAATTCCAAAGAATATGGGTTCATGGAAAACATACAATACCCTTAGATCCACGATAATGTTTCGGTGTAGTTGAAAGCATCGCAGATAGCATGCTTGAAAGGAGCAAAACTCCAAATATTGTTGAATGTTTTGTCCTTGAAGCTGTAAGATATGATGCCACCAGGGATGTTCAACACCATCAATGGCCCTTTTTCGTCGCTCTCGTCGATGAAAGACAGTACTTTAACTGATACTTTCGCTGAAAATGGTAAGACTGGAGGATCCTCAATCATCCCAGGACATGCCATTGTAATGGCATTTATATGTAGAGAGTACTTGATAAACCATTTTGAGCAGCCTCCCTCCATGGCATAAACTACTATGGATTGATCTGGACTTTGGTCAGTAGACATATAAGGGGAGATGATACCCATGCTCAAATCATCAGGATTTATGTTGCTAGCTTGAAACCCAATAAAATGTAAATGGCCACCAGACTCACCAAAATATCTGAAATTATGAACCTGCCAATTCTCAGGAAGTGGAGGCCTTGGAATTTTTTGGAGGCATTCCTTATCAAGCAAGAAGCTGAAACCATTCCCCATAGGACTAATCCAATGAAGAGCACCATTCCAAACGACACAATTTGCAAAGTTAACACATAGGGAATCAAAATTTTCTTGGTTCACACAGAGCTTCCAATCCTTGGTCTCAGATGAGTATACCTGAATTTTAAGCACAGAGTTGAGGAAGTGAGTGCAAACAACCTGGTAGCGAGGCGATTTTGAAGGATCAAACGCCAATTGAATCCAATTAAAATGGATTCCTTGGCCAGCGGGTGGAGGAAGAATTGCAAATTGTCTTGTAGTAGGATTGAATACATAATGATCTGTCGATTCAGTTCTCTCTCCAGAATACCATCTCCTTCTAGAACACAAAAGCAAGCCATTGCAGGACTGAGAAACAAAAGTACTTCCAGGGTTTTTGTGGTCAAAACGAAGAAAATCAGAGGGAACAGTAACTAATGATTTCCCATCAAGAGAAACATATTGGTAGCTACTTGGTTTATTGAAAAGGAATGACAATTTGAGGATTAGAGCAGAGATGGTGTGAGGATTGAGGTAGGTGTGGTGGATAGCGAAACTTGGGTGGGAGATGATGTAGAGCCATTTCTTGCAGACTAACTTGAATTTCAGGACAGATTTCGCAGGCAGACGCACTAAAATCCCAGTGAGAAGGTCATCGTTGTCGATGACAGCATCAACAGATGATGATTTCTTCTGCTTTGGTGAGTCTAAGGAGACATGTAAATGGTTTGGACAAAAGCAAGTCATCACCTAAAGCTTAATTTTCTCTTCTGCCGGTATTTTTCATGTTTCAAACTGCCGGCAAGTTAAGTTTGAACTTGTATCCAGATTACAGTTCTTATCTAATACCAAATCATTGACATTTCCCCATGTTTTTGTCCAACAAGGATGCTAATTTGGCATGTTCTACCAACTGGAAATTATCTAATAGATCTATTAGTTTTTTAATAAGGTTAACAATTAGTTTATTTTTATCAGAAAATATAGAAATTTCATCCAACTCTTTCTTCAACAAGTGGCAAGCATAAAGCAATCCAAATTCCAAATTACAATAAACCTCTTGTCCTATTGTCATTAATGGCTAACTCATAAATTTTCTTCTACAATTTCTTCTTCAGGTCACAACAGACGTGTCTTTATTAAAAATATGCAGAAAGTATAGCACATTTTCTGTTCATTTTCACCACTAACCACAGCACAAGAAATGCATAATATACTTCCTACTATCAATATAGTAACAAATTTTGATCACATAGTTTAAATTTCAACAGATGTGCTTTTTTATTTAAATTTCAAGATACATAAATTAGACGTTAGGTGATCGATGGTATGCTGTCCACTATCTTTAAATAATTTGCATTACCTACAACACATTGATCAGCTTCTGTTAAATCTGGGGAAGGACTGGCTGAGTCAAAAATCAAATATCATTACTCTAATACCAAGTTTATGATCTAGATAAGAATTGAGAGTTTGGTGATGGGGATCGCGCGATAATATATACATTAATTAGGCATCAGAATATGTTACGGCAGCTGATTCCTTAGTCAAACAGTAGTCTACGTAGAAACAGTGACTTTGCAGCCTGCTTATATTAGTTGAGAAGATTCCTAACAGTTGTATTTTTTTACCGCAATAGTAAAGCACTTAAGCTGCAATAGTTCAAAAACATTTTGGATTATATATAGCAAAAAGATATGTGTTGTCCTTGAAGCTGTAAGTTAGGATTTCACCTGGGATGTTCATGACCAGCAATGGCCCGGTCTCATTGTCCCTCTCAACAAAAGACTAACACCGTCTTCGAAACTTGTAAGACTGTAGGATCCTGTATCATCTCAGGAGGACTTATTTAAAACATTTCAAAGCAGAAGGGGGATTTTGAATGTTTTTTAAAACTTGGGTCCTGCCCCCTTTAAATTCGTCCCTGATTAAAGCAAAGATAACGTCTCACATGCTTGAAAGCATAGCAGGAAGCGTGCTTAAAAGGTCACTATTTCTTGGCTTTTTAAGCTGGAATTTTTAATGTTCATGGTTATAATTTTAGTCATTTCCATAATTAGCTTTATATGTATGCTAATTATATTGTTAATTTTATAAAAAGAACTTTCTTTTTTTGTTTAAGATGCTTGGAATACTGTAGGTAATTTTGTACTAATACTTTTTTCCTACTAAATTTCTTGTAGTTATTTCATTTTTGCAATTATATTTTATGACTTATTACTATCTTTTTTTTTGTGCATATTTTTTTTATCGTGAAGAAGAATTAACTTGATTTATGCTTAATTGTTACATTTTGACATTTTGATTAGAGTTGTTATTTTCTATTTACTGTTATTATTATTATTATTATTATTATTATTATTAAACAATGATTGATTTGTTTTTTTAGAATCTCGATTTTTTTTTTTTAATTCAACTTCTATCGGATCGGTCTTCAAAGAAAGATCAGATCTTCCAATTACTTGAAATGAATGCATGTACGCACGCCTTCAACGGTGGTTGCAAAAGCTCCGAGTTAACCCGGCGGAATAGGACATGGACTTGGATCTACCAAATGATAAAAATGCTTCTAAGATTCAATCATAAAGAACTTTGCGTCGGTTGTATTGTGTAAACCTCCCCTTCGCCCCCACCTCCCAACGTGGTAAAGAAGGTCTAATTTTCTTTGTATCTGAAAAGATAAACAAATAGGAAGTTGTTATTTTTAATTTTTAGTGGTTATTTATGTGGAAACAATTTGAAATTGCTAGATATTTCCTTTCTTGTGACATTATTAATCTATTATTCATAGTGAAGTTAGAAATTCTTGTTCAAGAGACTGAAATTTTTTCATAAAAAGTTAGAAATTATACGGCCAATTAATACTTTTTTATTTGAACTAATATGCACAAGTTAAAAATTGTAGGACTAAAAATGAAAAAAACATGAAAAATCAAAGTTTTGTTTACCTCCTAGCTTCATCAGCGAGAATCATGAATTTTATGAGTAAGACTGTCAGATTCAAGGATAGAAAGTTAAATAAAGAATGAGATTTTGGATTTTCACCAAATAATTGATTATTATTCAAGCTGACAAATTTGTATTTTGCTATTTCCTCAATTTTATTTATTTTTCGAATCCCTATTTGAATTTACAATTTAATTTCCCTCAACATCTCAGCATTTAAAACTTGAGAAGAAAAAGATTTTTCAAAACTTTTATAATTTCGACCAGGCCAAGACATAAAATCTAAACGCTAATGTTAAAATATTAAATTAGGATTAAGTTTGGATGCATGGAGTCTATTAATTTTCAAGAAAACAAAAAGAACTTTTAATAATCCTAGCTAGATATTCTCAGCCAATTTTGTGCTCCCAACTTAAGTGTTTTATTTATCGAAAATTCGGCAAGTCATTTAGATTAGTTTGATGCATTCATATATATATATTTTTTCCATAATCTTCCTTTAATTTCTTCCTAATTTTGTTTGACATTTTCAGCCAATTTTTGTGCTCCCAAATTAAGTGTTTTATAGTGCATTTATAATTTTTATTTTCAATCAAACACAAATTATATAATACCATTTCAAATTAACTTCAAACATGTCGTAGAAAATAAACTGATTTGTGAGAATCAGTAAGGAATCGGACGTTTTTAGGTGTTGGATAATTGACATAATTAACGACTAATTTATGTATATCTTGAAGCTCTTGAATTGAAAATCGCTTTCATTCCTTTCCATCTACATTATCACAAGTTGTAAGTTTGTTTTTTCACTTTGTTAGCCTTGTGCTTTGAGATCGTCTATTTATCTGATCCTTTCGTAGTTTTTCGTTTTTCTTTATTTATTTATTTATTTTTGTTGTTGTTGTTTTATTAGCCTTAGATTTCTTTTGTTATAGCTGCATGTGGGGAATTTGAGGACGTGTTTCGTGGTAACGACCAAGATTGGATTTGGTATTTCCATGGTTTGTTGTGACAATGCTGATACCATGACGGTTGGGTTTTTTAGATTATGTTTAGGTTCATTAGAGTTTTAGATGGTGGAAGGAGATTACAGAAGGATGTAGAATGAGTGAAAAGAAAAATATTTCTAATTCATTAGGTCAAATGTTTAATTCTTACTCTTGAGACATTGAGCTGTTAGATGAGTTTAAAGAGTTTGACTTTTAAAATCGATAAAAAATTAGACATGATTTGACACTAACGTAGCATATGAAGTAATGAACTTAGTTTTAGTTGAGACAAAAATTAATATGAAAATACTCAAAAAAAAATAAAAATAAAAATAAATATATATATATATAATGGTGGTGGTGGTAAAGTTGATTTGAGATCAAGTGGTGCTTCTATAGTATTTTAGGTGGTGGTATTGAGGAAGGCTCTATTTGGTGTAGTTGTAGAGATGAAGGTTAGGAGTTTTGGTTGTTTTTCTTTGGAGTTTTGAGTTATTTTAGGTGGTGTATGTAGAGTATGGCATTTGCCGGGGTTGTTTTGCTGTGATTTAGGGTGGTTATTTCCATCTTTGTAGATGAGTTGATGGTGTAGTTATTGTAAGAAGACATCAGCTACACATATGGCAGGGACATTAGTAGCATCACATATGGCAAAGTTTTTGAAGTGTGGACCTGAATTGCGTGGTTAAACTAATATATATTAGATTTGGTTTGGTTCTATTATTAACCTAGGCTTGCAAATCAGAAACCTTAACCTAAACTTTAAACTTAAAATTTATAAGTTTGGTTTGGTTCAAACCTATAATTAGGTTGGGTTAACTCATTTTATAAGTACAACTGATGTAGGGATGGCAACGGATAGACACCCGACTCACTAATTTAATTTTTATACTATCTATCGAAAAAATATCCTACTAATTACCTATTAAAAAATCACCATGAATCTTTACCTAGCCTATATCAGTTTACACATCCATTTAATACTCATTTAATTCTAACTAAATTTAATTTATCAAAAATATTTATTTTAATCCTTATAATTTCAAAAAAAATGTTTTTATGGTCCTTAATTTTTTTTTACATTTTATTCATGTGTTTATATGATTTTTTGGTCCTCAAAGCTTTTAAAAAATATTTTGATCCTTAATTTTTAAATTTTATGCAATTAAGTCCTCGTATGTTAATAAAAAAATATAAATAAATTAGTGAGGATTAATAGAGTAAAGAGTGAGTACTCATATCTTAAAACTATATTAGCAGGTATGTATTTTTTTTTATATTTATCCATTTTAATACTTATTGGACATTGTTAATGAGTATTTATTGAACTAGATAAAGTGGATAAGCTGTTTTATACTTGGCCTATTACCATCCCTAGGTTAAAGCAATTATGTTCGATTATTTGGTTCATAGATTTTTTTGAACAAGATCTGGTGTTTTAAGTATGACCGATATCATTTCATTAACATGAGCATATAGCATTAATATCATTAAAATTTTTGTTTAAAAAAATATCAAGTTCATGAAAATGCTTTGGGCTTTGATAGTTATCTGTTTCTTATTTATTGTGAATAAGCATTTGAAGCCAATTCTTAAAAAAAAAAAAAAAATCATCACAATGGTGAGACATTGGGGAAAATTAAATTTTAAATTAAAATAGTGATTCAAGAAATAACTAAAATTGAGAAAATAACAAAATTGAAAATCTTCGACTATCTCAGATTTCCGTCATTAAGGAAATCGAGAATTTTAGAGAACTCCAAAATCTCATTGCCTATGTAACTTTCAACTATTGCAGCTGATAGAGTAAAAGCTTCTAGGTTTGGTGTTGCTTTTTACAGGGAAATCAAACATTCTGACATGAGTTTTGTGGTTTTGATTTACAAGCTTTTCAATTCGGCCGTTATTTTTAAGTTTGATTCCATTACTCGACTCATAAAAAAAATTTGAAAAAATTTACAAACACACCTCTTCTGTTAGTTATTTCCAGGGAAGCATTTTGATGATTATAACTCCTCGATCTATTAATGCTGAACTTTGCATGTTTTTTTTTTTTTTTCCATTACGTATATCAAATTGAATTTGTGACTACCTTGCAACACATCAACTTTGATGCATTCAATAAAAATAAAAAATAAAATAATATGATGTTCAAAATATTCATAGACAGATATTACTATAATTAATCTATTTAGGTTTTTTTTTTCAAGAAAAAAGGGGAAATTATTAAAAAATGATTTTTCAAAGAGGGCGATTGCATTTCAAGTCGCTAATAGAAAACTTGATGGGGTGTTTTTTTAGGTTTGCCTAAAATTTTAAAGTAAAATTGATGCAAAAAATTTGTTTGCTGAAAAAAATTAACACTATCTATGAATTATGGCTTATGGGGTGTTTTTTTAGGTTTGCCTAAAAAGATATGAGAAATTATTTTCGCAGGAAGAAGTGGGCATGTTTGGGCTGGATGACTAGGTCATGGTCCGGTGAGCACAAGTTAAAAGGCAGTCACAACCAAGTAGTGAAGGGAAAAAAAAAAAAAAAAAAAAAAAAAGAAGAAAAAAAAATGTAAGGGAACAAAGTAATAACAATCCAGAAGGAAGGAGTGGACAAGTTAAAATCTAAAAATAGGTTTTAGGTAAAAAAAATCAAAAATAAAAAAATATTTAAAATTAAAAAAGTCTTATAATAAAACTTAAAATGTTTTAAAGAAAAATAAATAACTTCACAATTTTGAAAAACATTTTAAGGATTTTGTAGGAAAATAGAAGAAATGAATTTATTATTTGACAGTAAAACTTATAAACAGAATTCATTGCTCTAAAATAAATATTGTAAGGATTTTGTTGAAAATATTAGAAGTGATTGACTTATTTGAAAAAAAAAAAAACCTAAACTAAATTTATTGATCTAAAAACAGAGTATAGAACTTATTGGTAATTTATCTTTCAGAAATGAAATTATATCAAATTTTCTCTATTTTCTTTTTCAACAACAATAAGAAGTCATAAAACACAGAATTCCAAAAGATAATGGACCATATATATACCAAATATATAATATCATTAGACCCAAGATAAGGTCTCCCCGTGCTTGAAAGCACAGTAGGAAGCGTGATCAAAAGGAGGAAGGCTCAAAATCTTCTTGAATGTCTTGCCTTTGAAACTGTATGACAGGATGTCGCCAGGGATTCTCATCACCAGCAATGGCCCTGCCTCACTGTTCCCCTCGATAAATGACAATACAATCTCTGAAAATGGTGAGAATGTAAGATACTCAATTACCCCAGGATGTGCCATTGCAATGGCATTCGTTTGTAGACAGTACTTCTTCGGATATGCCAATACAATGGCATTCATTTGGAGACAGTACTTAACAAACCACTCTGAGCAGCCTTTCTCCAAAGCATAAACTACTATGGATTGGTCACTGGACATATCAAGGGAGGTAAAATCATCAGGATTAGTTTGGTTAGCAGCTACAAGCCCAATAAAATGCAAATTGCCTCCAGACTCCCCAAAGTAGCCGAAATTTTGATCGTGCCAATTCTCAGGAAGTGGAGGTCTTGGAATTGTTTGGAAGGATTCCTTATCAAGGAAGAAACTGAACCCATTTCCCATAAGACTCATCCAATGAATAGCACGATTCCAAAACACGCCTTTATCAAAGTTAACGGATAAAGAATCAAAATTTTCTTCGTTCGCAGAAAGCCTCCAGTCCTTGGTATCAGATGAGTAGACATAGATTTTAATAACTGAGTTAAAGAAGTGAGTGCAAACAACCTGGTAGCTAGGTGATTTCGAAGGATCAAATGCCAATTGAATCCGATTAAAATGGTTCCCTTGGCCAGGGCGTGGAGGTAGGATTGCAAATTGTCTTGTACTAGGATTGAATATATAATCTGTTAATATAGATCTCTCAAAAGAATACCCTCTCCTTTTAGAACACAAAAGCAAGCCATTGCAAGAGTTATAAACATATGATCTTCCAGCGTTATTGGGGTCAAAATTAAGAAAATCAGAGGAATTATTAACTAATGATTTCCCATCAAGAGAAACATATCTGAAGGAAGGTGGTCGCTTGAGATAGTATGAAACTTTGAAGATAAGAGAAGAGATAGTGTGAGGATTAAAGTGGGTGTGGCGGATGGCGAAGCTGGAGCCAGAAATAATGGAGAGCCATCGCATGGATACAAACTTGAATTTCAAGACTGATCTTGCTGGCAGACGAAATAGAATCTCAGTGAGAAGATCATCATTGCCAATCACAGCTTGAACAGATGACGAATTCTGCTGCTTTGGTGAGTTCATAGTGGAAGGTAAATGGCTTGGACAAGGAGAGAAGACATTGATAGTTTAATTGTCTGAAGCAGGTCTCTTTTAAGGTTATGGCGTTCCTTGTGACGGCAGAGCGGAATCCTTTTAAAGAAAGAAAATCAGATAACTGAAGAGGTTAAGTTGGATTTTAATAAATTAATTATAGTTCTGATCGCTTAAAGTACCTAACAATGTCTATTTGCATTTTCTATGTTCACTTTAATGAAAATACATGAATTTGGCAACCATTAATTAGGTTCTAATCAGTCCCTTTATGGGCCCTTTAATCTCATCTCCAAACATTAGCGGCCTCCTTCCTTTGAGGTGTTTCATTTTCCTATTTGTATTCTTGGTTTTTTTTCTCTTTGCTAGCTTTGTGCTTCAGATCGTCTGTTTATATGATCTTTTTGTAATTTTTTTTGTCTCTCTTTTTTTGTTGTTGTTGTTTTACTAGCCGTAGATTTCTTTTGTTATAGCTGCATGTGGGGAATTTGAGGAGGTGTTTCGTGGTAACGACCAAGATTGGATTTGGTATTTCCATGTTTTGTTGTGACACTGCTGATACCATGACGGTTGGGTTTTTCAGATTATGTTTAGGTTCATTAGAGTTTTAGATGGTGGAAGGAGACTACAAAAGATTGTAGAAGGAGTGAAAAGAAAATATAGCACTGACATGAACTGTAGATTTCTAATTCATCAGCTTAGATGTTTAATTCTCACTTTTGAGACATGAATTTTGGTAGGCTCAAAGAATTTACTCTTAAAATCGATTAAAATCTATACATAATTTAACACTAACATAGCAGATAAAGTGATAGACTTAGTCTTAGTTGAGGTAAAATTAATGCGAAAATACTCCATAATTTTTGTGTGTGTATATATATAAAATAATGGTGGTGGCGCTAAAGTTGATTTTGAGATCAATTGGTGGTTCTATAGTATTTTAGGTGGTGGTATGTAGAGTAAGGCATTTGCTGTGACTTAGGGTGGGTATTTCCATCTTTTCTAATGAGTTGATGGTGTAGTTATTATAAGAAGACATCGGCTACACATATGGCAGGGGCATTAGTAGCATCACATATGGCAAAATTTTTGAAGTGTGGACGTGAATTGCGTGGTTAAACTAATATAGATTTGGTTTGGTCCTATTAACCTAGGCTTGCAAATCATAAACCTTAACCTAAATTTTAAACTTAAAATTTATAAGTTTGGTTTGATAAAACGAATAACTGTTTTATATCTGATCCATTACTATCTTTAGGTTGAAACGATTATTTGATTCATAGATTTCTTTGAATAGAACTCTTAAGTTTCATAATTATTGTAACACCTGGTGTTTTAAGTATGACCGATATCATTTCATTAACATGGGCATATAACATTAATATCTTTAAAATTTTTGTTTAAAAAAATATCAAGTTCATGAAAATGCTTTGGGCTTCGATAGTTATCCGTGACTTATTGTGAATATTTGAAGCCAATTTTTTTTTTAAATAAAAAAAATCATCACAATGGTGAGACATTGGGGAAAATTAAATTTTAAATTAAAATAGTGATTCAAGAAATAACTAAAATTAAGAAAATAACAAAATTGAAAATCTTCGGTTACGTCGGATTTCCGCCATTGTAGAGAACACCAAAATCTCATTGTCTAAGTAACTTTCAACTATTGCAGCTGATAGAGTAAAAGCTTCTAGGTTTGGGGTTGCTTTTTACAGGGAAATCAAAGGGAAGCATGTTGATGATTATAACTCCTCCATTAATGCTGAACTTTGCTTCTTTTGTTACATTACATATATCAAATTGAATTTGTGACTACCTTGCGACACATCAACTTTTTTAATATCTCAATCCACAGGAGTTTCATCCCAAATTTTCATTTATTGAGTTAAATTTGATGCATTCAACAAAAATAAAAAGTAAAATAATATGAAGTTCAAAATATTCATAGACAAATATTAATATAATTAATATATTTAGCATTTTTTTTCAAGAAAAAGGGGCAATTGTTAAAAAATAATTTTTCAAAGAGGGCCATTGCACCCTCCAGTTTTACCCTGTGTTTGGATATTTCCTCTTGAAAGAAAAGAAAAGAGAAAAAAAAAAACTATTTTTCATTTGTTGTTTTGATAAGAGTAGATATGAAAGGAAAGAAAATATATTTTTTTTGTTTGGATAATTGTAAAAAAAGAGAAAAAAAATATATTATTGTATATTTACTATAATACCCCTATGATTATATTTCTATATTTAAATATTTATAATAAATTTATATGAATATTTTTTTCATTAAAATTACACAAATGATAATAAGATAAAAATCTAACATGTGACATCTATCTGAAATGATAAGATGAATAATGAATTATCTTTATAAAATAATCGATATATGTTTATTAATTAATTAATTTAATAACTAATTTTAATTATATTTATTTATTAAATTTTTTATTAATATCATCTTTTAATATTTCCTCAAAATTTTTACGTGACCGCATTAAATATTAGCACATAGTAATTTTAAAAAAATTAAATAAATAAATTTCTCAAATGAAAAATAGAAAGCCCAAGACACCTCCGTCCATAGAAAAACCTCAAAATCCCTAATTAAGTTTCAATTCTCCCCTACCCAGCCTCCCCCTTCACCCACTGCGACCATCGCCGTTGCCCCTCAGATCATGAAAATACCAGAAAACGACCCGTTAGCTCTCTCAAACAACCTTTTACACTCCCTTTTAGACCAACAAATCCCATTAATACAACCTTTCAGAGGCAAATGGCGTTTGATAAAACCCAAACTCACTGATCTCTAAACCCAACTCGCTGATTTTTTCGAGTTCCAAACTTCACTCACCAACCCACTTTCTCTTGAACTCCTTTCTCTATTTCCCAAGCCCTAAATGATGCTCTCCTTTTACCTGAAAATGTCAAGATACAAACTTGACTGAAAGGAAGCTTAAAACTCAAAGCGATATTGATTCAATTTTAGCTAAATTGAATCAAAATGTGAAAGATTGTGAGATTTTGATCAAAAGTGGAGTTCTTCACGATGGGATTTTATCCGGATCTAGCTCAAAAAGAGAGCTTGTTAGAGCTGAGTTTAGAAATTTGATAACTCGGTTGCAAATAGGGAGTACTGAGTCGAAGAACGCAGCTATGGACTCGGTTTTGAGTTTGATTCCAGATGATGATAAAAATGTAATGGTTGTTGTTGGACAAGGCATTATGCCGGTTCTTGTTAGATTACTTAATTGTAATAGTTGTTTTGTTACTAAAGAGAAGAGTGTAGCTGCAATTTCAAGAATTTTAATGGTGGATAGTAGTGAACATGTTTTGATAGCAGAAGGGTTGCTTTTGAATAAATTGAATAGGATTCTTGGATCAGAAAGTGGGTTTGCTAAGAAAAAGCTTGGGCTGCACTTCAAGCTTTAAGCTTTTCGAGAGAGAATGCAGGGCAATTGGGTCTAAAGGTGGGATTTGTTCATTATTGGAGATTTGTCAAGCTGGAACACATACTTCGCAGAGTCTTGCAAGTGGGGTCGTAAGGAATTTGGCTGTGTTTGAGGGGATGAGAGAGACTTTTATTGAAGAAAATGTTGTTTTGTTCTTGTTGGGCTTACAGCTTCTGGAATTACAATAGCTCAAGAAAATGCAAATTGGTTGTTTTTGTTCATAATGATTTGTTAAGGGAGCCGGCACCTTGCGGGAGGGCTTGTTTCTGATGGATTTGTTGTTAGGCTCGTGGCAGCGTGAGGGATGACAGCGATGGTAGCAGTGGGTGAAGGTGAGTTTTGCTGTGATTTGTTACTGCAGAGAGTAGAGAAATGGAGAGGGACGGATGAGGCAGATGAGGGTAATAATGAGAATATACATATCTTTCCTCCCAAATTTTGGGAGGAAAATGGTTCCCACCAGCTGTAACTTTGTTTATTTATTTTTTTTTCATTCCATAGGTTTCTTTTGCAAAACAAATAGGTGAAACTTTTCTTTCCTTTCTAATTTCTTTGTTATCCTTCACTTTCCACTCTATCCAAACAGGTCATTGATGTTGACACAAGACAAGACAAATGATCGGGCACTAAATTTCAAGTCACAAATAGAAAATTAATTAAAACAACTAATAGGATGTATATCTCATCTCATGGAACTAGGTGAAAAAAAAAAAACAAAAACAAAAACAGAAATACCAAAATTATAATATTACCAAGGGAAAGAAATTACAGGGAAAATAAAAAATGAAATAATTTTTTAAATTTATATAAAAAATATTACTATAATATATTTATTTAAGAGTTTCATTGAATGATGGGAGCAATTATTATATTTATCTTCGGAAAAAAATATTTTTTTAATAGGGTATGATTGTCCCTTTTTGTGATAAAAAATGAAAAGAAACAAAAATCCAATATTCCGAAGGGATGAAATAAACACAACGAAAATAAAATAAAAATTAAATATATTGGTTAGTTGCAACGATTTTTTTTTCCGATTTTCTACAAATATATTTGTCTGTTCATTATCAACGTTTTTATAATTAAAAAAAAAAACACATTCTAAGAAGTTGCAGATATAAGAAATTGATGAGAATATAATCTCATGATGTGTAAATTAGATTTCATAAAAAAAAAAAAAAGTCAAATACACATAACAATTAAGAATAAAAATAAATCAATCACAAGAGTAAAATTACAAAAACATCAAATTTATGAAAAAAAAAATCTTTTTTTTTTTTTTTTAATCTTAGATGAAAATATACATAACAGTACCAACTCTGAAATAATCTATTATAATTAACAAACCAATACAATAACTTAAGTTTTTTTTTTTATGAATTTGAAAAGCAAAAATATTGATAATAATAAAAATTACTTATTGTTTTGTTGTTCTTTTGTCTCTGTCTCAACCAAAAGGGCTTTATAATAAAAAAAAATGAAAAAAATTATTGCAAATTCAACAATGCTCGAAGTTTAAAAAGGAACATGTGTTTGTTGGTGAGAATGAAAGGTTTCCTCCAGATATCATGTTTTTCACAAGAATTCAATTCCTAAAGATCACTGACATCTATTTAGTTTAATTCTTCTTATTACGAAAACTTGTAATTTACGAAATCTTTCGATTTATATAAAATCCAATACCATCTGAGATCAACACTTTGAGCACTATAATTCTTTTTGATTGTTGTATCCAAAAACCAATCCTAGAGAAAAGTCTCAATATTTTTCTTGCTTTCGTACCACTGTGCAATATCTCTACCCTAGTATAGCTATGGTATACTAAAGGATGAAATTAATCACTAAGGTCAAGCTTACATTCATGTTCTGCTTTAGACAAAAGTTTCTTATGATGCCCAAGCAAGTTCCTCAAGCATTGCGAATGTTAATTATTCGAAATGATTGTGTCGGTGGATTGCAAGATCAATCTAAACTGCTTCTCCTCTACTTTCAAAAGTTTCTTCTGTGCTTCACTTAAGCTAGCATGTGTCATCAACGGCTCACTTCAACTAGGGTCCATGAAGGCTTGAGCTTAAAGTACACCTGCAAACATGGTGGATAACATCTTGATACCACCCAGTGCCGATATTGCTTTAGTATCTTAGTAAGTTAATATAGCTTTTAAATGCCTTGCCAATCTACCTTTAATAATTGCTATGCTTCAGGAGTGTATGCAAATCATGGTGCTCTCTAATTTCCAGTGAATCGATTTCATCAGGAACGATCTAATATATTCCTCGTCTCAACAGAAACTGATCAACGTAAACTTGTCAACTATGAAGTAGTAGAAAATAATAGTGGTCATAATGCAGTAATGCATCTTGACTTGCCCTGCAGTATTTGTCCTGGATTTCAGGTTTGGTGTTCATACGATAGCCTCATATGTTTCAGCTTTGGTTATGCTAATATTTTTTTTGTAAAAGCCATCAACCAAAGCTTTCAAAATGCTAATCCAAATGGCCAGCCGTATTATTTGGCCCTGGCTTTTGATAAATCCACTCCTGATTACAAGTTCTCAGGTACAACTTCTCACTGTTGTAGAGGGAATCCTCCGAAAATGAAAGCTGAGGTGTTTGCGTTGAAAACAAATGCTTGGAGAAGAAGGCCTCAAGTCTTTAACTTTGGCATGCTTAGATTCAGAAAGGGTATTCATGTGAAAGGTGCTATCCATTGGCTAGCAACATATGCAGAATGTTCTATGACCTGCGAATCACTTCTTGTTGCCTTTGATTTGGCGGAGGAGAAATTTGAAGTGCTGCCGAAACTCGACTTGGTTCAAAATTTGCCTAGTGGTTTAAAGGTTCTTGGAGAATTCCTCTGTTTATGTGTTTGAAGCAGTGAGTTGTGTGTATTAGGATTTTCTAGGCGAGTTAAAAAGAGTGAAATTTGAAAATAATAAAATAAATAATTAATTAAGAGTTAAAAAGAGTGAAATTTGAAAATAATATAATAAACAAATTATGGTTTGTTGTTCATGATCGGATTCTAGGCATAGTAATTACTTCAATTTTTATAAGCAAATAGGAAATAATTTCGGATTTTCTTTTACTGTTGGGTTCTTTTTTGCTAGTTTTCTCTATTTCAACTTGTGTTTTTAATTCAGCATTATATTTAATGTCTGAAAATTATATTTACATTTTGAAGATATACAGTCTTGAATTGATAGATATTATAGTATTTAGATTTTTGGAATTGATGGATATTGTAGCTTTTAGATTTTTGGAATTGATGCTTTATGAATTGTTATTTGTATTTTATTTACGGATCCCATTTTGTTTTATAAATTATTTTTTTATTTGAATTTCTTTTTAAAATTGGAGACTTTTTTTTTTTTTTAGAAATATGAATTAATTTGAATGGCTTAAATATGATTTGTCAGACCTTTAAAGAAAATGAAGCTTGATTAATGTTTTTCAGTTGACAGTAAAAATATCAGGAATTTATGAATTCTAATTCTTTTATATAGCTTAGTAAATATTTGCAGACGAGGGTACGTTAAGAAAATTAAGAAGCTGAAGAGTATTTCTCTAATTTGTAGAAATTGGAAAGCCAAATGAAATTCAATAGACTTTGTATTGTATTTTATTGTGAATTACACTTTTGATTAGGCAGTTTCTTCATCTTGCATTGAAGCTACTGCTGTTGCAGGACCAAATATCAACTGTCCAGAAGAAAAATTTAGCAGTAAGGAGATCTTCATCTTCCTTGAATAGCTCAAAATTTGATTGTACGGGTAAGATGTCTACGAGCATCTTCCCTCTTATCTGTATGATATTGTTTCATATAGCCTTTTCTTGAACCAGCAAGCCTGCTGCGGTTTCTTCAGAAAATAACTCTATTGCATGCCTGAAAGTTACATTTCTCCCGAGCCTCAGGTTTCCAATCGTAAAATCCTTGTTGACTTTGTCTCTGTTAATGCCAGAAGAATTCCTTTGTTCCATTTATTAATGAGAATCAAAACAAAATATTTTGTGGGGATAATTAACTTGAATAAAAATAGGAAATTTGTCAATAAACTTGAAAAGTAGCAACAGGAGGAGTAGTATCCTCAAGCTAAAGAAGAATAGTTCTATTTTCTAGTTCTACTCCTTATACGTCCTCAAGAAACAATGAAGGTAAGATATTGGAGGAAACTAAATCACAATATGGTTTGCACTCAAAACATGAGGAAACTTACATGATTTAGTTCCCTCCAATTCCTACATTCAAGATCCATGCCAGTTGCTGCTACCCTTCTGAAACGCTTCTCAACCTTTTCACTCTCATTCCATATTTTCATTGTTTCGTACTCATCATGAACCATTGAAAGTAAGATATTGGAGGAAATTAAACCATAAGACTTTGCTCATACATACATCAGTAGACTCATGCTTTAGTTTCCTCCAACTCTTTCTTCCAAGATCCATGCTTTACCATATGGAAAAACCTGAGTGAAGGTTTTGTTAGTTTTTGGTAGTGAAGATGAATGACTCTTTTGCAAATAGCATGGAGACACATTATGTTAATTTCTATTTATAGCCCTAAATCTGAAGAAATTTTGTAGTCAAATGGCTGTTCTACCATATGCTGTGCATTCCCAACAACTTTTCTCATGCACTTCCTGTGATAGCCTGACATGATGAAGTCAAGAGTAGTTATATATAAGGATTGCTAAGAAAATGTTCACAATGTAGGATGAAAAAAGAAAAAGAAAAAGAAAACAAAAACTAAACCATGGTTAATTTTACATATTGTTGACCGTGAATTTGGTTCCTCCCAAGTCCCATGGCCATTTGAAGAGTGGATTATTTAGTCCCTGGTTTTGTATGAAGTTATAACTTAGTCCTTCATTCTATAAGTTAGCCCTTTGAATTGTGTTGATTGTTGTCTTTTTAAACTCTCCTCATGTTGGCTTTTCTCTAAAAGTTTATATTGCTAAATGTTACACTTGAGATTATAAAAAAAAAAAAAAAAAAACCATCAGATGTTTTAAAAAGACAAAGACTAACAAGAGTTAAGAACATAACTTGTAGGCACCAATGAGCTCTCATAGGTACCGGCCTTTTGTTTATATGCAAAAGGTACATGTTCAAATTCTAATTCTTTTAACAGCTTTGGTAGCGTGAGTTAAAAAAAAAAAAAACATAACTTGTAAGTTCTCAACCATGTAGAACTAAATTGTACTGACTTTGAAAACCTAGGGACTAAAAGCCATCATTTCTGGGGCCATATCTAACATTATTTAGCTGCAATATCAGACCTAATTCTATCATACATTATTTAGCTGCAATATCAGACCTAATTCTATCATACAGTTGATGAATCAGAGTAGACTTGGACATCTGAGGTTCTCTTTCCAGCCTTGTGATTGCATCCTTGACAGAGATAGGATAATTGCCACCCCAGTTTGAGGCATAATTACTTGATTCCATCCAGATTCAATAACAGCACCTGTTATAAAAAAAGGATAATGATTTTAAAATAGTAATTACAAGAAATTTAAAAATATAAGAACTAAATAATTAGTTTTTGAAACATGAGGTACTAATTAATTAAATTCTCAAAACTAAACGTACTGGTTTATAATTTACAGGTAAAAACATATACCAGCATACCACCCAAGCCGACTAGCCAAGGCCTGCATTATTGTTGAATCGAATTTGGTTAGGTTGGGCCTGGCCTCATTCTGGTTTTTCTACGGCCTTGTTTTGATGGTCCATAGTACTGGGCTTACTGTCTGATTAACTAGCAATCTATGGGCTTCTTGCCGTCTCAAAACCTTAAATGGGCTTTTGTTTTCAGCCTATTTGAACCCACTTCTTCCAAAACTGATATATATATATATATATATATATAAACAAAAATTGAGGTTGATTGGACAATTTGCAAGAGTCTTGGAAGGTTTCCATTGTGTTGTATTCGAAGAGGATCATTAAATTTAAATAGTTTCTAAAAAAATATGAAAAGATAAAAATACCAATAAATTATTTGAATTAATCAAAATACTTAAGGATTGTTTATTTAAAACTTAAATATAACAGTTATGCTATAAATCATATAAATATGTGAATAATCCTAATCTCATAGAAAATTCTTACAACATAAAAAAAAATTCAATCCTAAAATTAAAGGATCCACTAATTTTTTCTTCTACTTAGAAGCATTCCATGGTCCCTTGTACCATTACACTACAATAGTCACCGTCCAATATATATATATATATAAAAGTTAATTATATACTTGTATTTTAAATGAGTTTCTAATTTATCATTTTAGTTAATTTCTTCGATCAAGCCATAAAAAAAAAAAATTAAAGCAAATTAAAAGTTCATTTAAAATACAAAAACATAATTGGCTTAGCTCATGGTTGGAATCTAAAGAAAAATTAGATACTGATCCCATTATATAAAAACAAGATTGGCCCCATTTCACTTTTATTTTGATTAGTAGAAGTTTATGCTTATCTAAATTAAGATCCGCTGCAAGTATGATTCATCCTCATTAAAAAACTTATAACCTAATGATAATAATCTTTCATAACAAGAGATTATAGATTCGAATCGTAACAAACTAGTTTTGTTAGAAGGTATGATTCATCCCCGTGATAGGATAACCGGTGCTAACATGTTTCTAATGGTTGATATGTTTTAGTTCACTGTCAAGACTAAAGTATAAGGAAAAGGTACTGAGAAACATAAACTACAAACATATGATGAATAGCATGAAAATATTCCACCATGAGTTTGGCTAGAAAATCAATCAGCCAATGAGAAGCACAAATATTGTTGGTAGGAAGTGGCAGCAGTGAATCCAACCTAACAAAATCTAAGATGGAACTGAACCTAACTCACTCTGAATTCCCACTGACCAAATGACTGCAAATTTCGAACCCCATCAACAAAGATCAAGTCACTCACTAGTTTCTTATATTGCATAGGCCCTTTTTTTCTCTCCACAGTAGACATTACCATCATTTAGGGAACTGCTCCTAGTCTTTCCATCTCTATTTTTTAATTGATTGTGGAGCTGAATAATTACCAATTAAAAGATTTTCATCTTCCTTGGATTATGACGACTTCCACTCAGGAGAGAAAAATATATAATACCACTGGTACTGGTCTCCATATTACTATGCGTACTGGTTTCCAGAACTACGATATTCAAAACTTAGCATTATATTTAGTGAGGCAAATTCGAGTTTGATGATAACAATTTTTGCAGTAGTAATATATAGCTCAAAACTTTTTAGGCTTTGAGGCAGTACATGAGGATAATTCGTGGTTTTTGGATAGGTAGGCAGAGGTGGATGGAATGGTGATCTTCTTATCATGAAGATGGCCTTTGTTAGGCGTTGGCTGTTATGGGCGACATCGGCAAGTATAGTGATAAAGTGATTGCGGAAGGAAGTAGGGGAGGTGGAGTGGTAGGTTTTCTTGTTTTTGTATTTTTTTTTTTACAGTATTTAAAAGATATTTTCGAATTCGATTAAAACTAATTTTTTTTTTCGAACGATTCTAAAAGTTATATCGTCATGATGCATTCCACAAAGTGGTAGTAGTTGTGACATGGAAACATAACAGTGGTCGTGTAATAAAATAGTTATATAATGTAAGTTTATTTAGTGAAGAAAGTTTGAATTTGATAAGACAATTTCTATAATAATCATATATAATGAGAAGAACTTTTTAAGTGTTAAAACTTTTGTGATGATAAAGAAAAAGCTTGAATTAAATTGTATTCTGATTACGTATGTTACTTTATTTTTACTAGTAAAAAAAAAAAAAAAGACAAAAAAAATATCAGAAGACCTAGATCATGTATGTGGTGGGTGACTCCTTCTCAATTTTATATGCTAGTTTTTTTTTTAATATATAAAATATGTTTTTTTAAAACTCTATCTCACTTAATAGAGTTAGAATGTTGAAATTGGATTTAATCGAAAAAACTTAAACTTTATAACGAATAGCTGTTTCTCAACTTTATATGATATATACATTTTTTTTTTAATATGAGATATATTATATAATATTTGGTAAGTCCTTGTCAATAGGTGAAAAAAAAATAGAGAAAACAGAAGTATGGTAAACTTTTTACTGTTCCAAATTCATCATCTTTGAATCATGCGATTGAAACATATTCATATTTGTTAAAGCATCCATTTCATTTCAGGTTTTTTTTTTTTTTTTGACAGTAAAAAGATAGATCATTGTATTAGATCATTAGCCAAAATGGCTGAGATACAACTGGGGGCTGATAGACCCCATACATGGTGACCTGGATGTGAACCAACTGTCCGTACAAGGGTGTGGGCAGCTAAGTTCGCAGATCTCTGGATAAACACAACTCGGACATTCAAAAGAGTTGCCAAAATATCTCTACAATCCAACACTAACAAACCATAATTTGAATTAATAAACATAGACGCATTAATAGCTTGCACTGCATTCAAGCAATCAGATTCAATTAGAATATTTTGCAGCCTTCTAGCCTTGATCCATGTTAATACTTCCCTAATTGCAAGGACTTCAAGTGCAGCTGGGTCACGGATATGTGTGAAATTAATTACATATGCCTTAAGAAATCGCCCCATAGCATCCCTGCGGACCATTCCACACGCACCAGAATTTGGGAACACAACAGCATCGACAGCACAAGAGATCCATCCCGCGTCAGGCCGCTTCCACAGATCCGAAGCAGCACCCTGATTTTCTGCAAAATTCTGGGTAGAACCAAGAACATTCCAAGATTGTTTCCAGCCTTTAAGAATCTGAAGACTTGAAAAAACCACGCTCTTTGCGGACGATCGCTTCCCTGCCCAAACTAGTGCATTTCGATTCCTCCAAAGACCCCAACAGACTGCAACAACATCTCCCCAATTCCTTTTGTCTATCCTTGATAAGATCAGATCTAACCATAAAGCAAAATCATCAATATTGCCATGAAACCAACCCAGACCCGAACTCCCCCAAACTTCTTTTGCAAAATCACAATTGACCAACACATGCATTACCCTTTCATCCTCTCTACAACATATAGGACACATACTTGAATCAATTGCGTGTTTCTGAACCAGCCTCACTTTAGTTGGTAATGAGTTCGTAGCAGCCCTCCATAAAAGGTTTAGCATTTTTGGCAAAGCTTTAATTTTCCAAAGCTTTTTCCAACCAGCACACTCCCTTTGAAGTTGGCATTCTTTTTGCTCATGAATCTTTCTATAGCCTGCTTTAACCGTATACATACCAGATTTATCCCCTAACCAGACCCATTTATCTTTAACAACTCTATTGCTTAAAGGGATAG